CCCCCCCTCCTCCTTCCATCGACCTATGAATATATTTATTAAACACGAACAGCCAGAAAAAACCACAAAAGCACATCCCCGACCCGCCGCAATATTATCATATGAATCATAAATTTTGGATTAGACTCTTTTTCTGATGAGGCGCACCACTGCTGTTTTGGCTTACTCGACTGGTGATCAAATAGATTTTTCGAAGGTCAAAAGCGATGTGTCTGCGTGACCTGCCCTGCTCTATGTCGATAAAATGATATAATATAAAGGATGAAAAATCCATTCGAAAAATCTTTTCAGTAGAAGCATGAAAATATAAGTCCATTAACAATCTATAATATGGCCAGTCATTAAGATTTGCAAGGAATTGTATTGTGATAGATATTTCTTTTATAGAAATTCATGTTGATAATTAATAATTATTTATTAATTGTTAATTAAATATTTCGAGATAATCATAAAATTTTTGCAAAATAGCACTAATAAAATATAATAATTATAAAAATATTTTCATGTTTAAATAAATAAATATTAGATAAATATATAAATAAATAAATAAATATTTGCAAACTTCACTGAAGATATCTGTAATAAAATCGAGAAGCAGTTCTATAGGATGTTTTGTACTGAGTTATTTCATAAGTAATTTTTTTTATTTTGAAGATATCCTTCAGAAAGTTTTTTTGAGAACGCCTCTGTTGTTAATTATAGAATTTGCCAAAAATAGATGAAATTAAAAGGCAAAATAAAAAATGGCGAAAAATGGCGAGAAATAGCGAGAAATAGCGAAAATAAATTTCAATAAAATTTTCACATTGATCATATTTATATCACTGAATATTTATATTTTTAACAATTTTTTCGTCAAGTCGTTCTAATTTATTATGAACTATGCGCCTTTTTTTCCGTTGAAATTCCCATCATATGTTGTTATATCTCTTTTGGGTCCAACCAAAATCTATTTTTGCTTGGTACTATCTCTATGCTCTCATATATTCTTTCGCATAATAACAATCCTTTTAGTGCATTGGTTCAAGCGTATCAAGTTCATTTCAATGCCTGGCGTCAACCAAGCTGCGTCTTACTCATGGTTGTGCCATTAAAATCACTGTTTTTTTTCCTAAAAAGATGTTTTACTGCATTTTTCTACTGTATTTAATGGCTTATATTCTCTCAAAAAAAATATTCTTTATTACCAACGTTTTTCTTTTTCCGCTTTTAAAGATCAGCTTTCCATTGATTCACATCGCAAATCTATATGAAATCTATATGAATACATCTATCTATTTAATAGCTTTTTCAATAGCGATCGAAGGAATTGTAGAAATTGGCATAGAGAAGAACGAAAGATGGATGATAACCGAACTAACCGAACTAAGCAAGGATTTGGTAAACGAGAAAACGAATTTGACCTGGATAGGACATTGTTCGCATTAGGTGTCCTATTAGTCGAGTTTTATAAATTGTGGCCAAAATACTTCAATTTTGATTCATACATATTGGTGCAGAATGATAGTAAAAAAAAATTTATTGTTTCATATCGTTTATATATTATTTTTTCAGTGAATGTTTTTTGTAAATGATTAACAAAAATGGTCAAAATAAGGAATGAGGAAGGAATAATTTCCAACTTTTATAGTTCTCATTAGTAATTTTTGGTAATTTTCCTTGCAGTGGCTAGAACCACAATATCCTTCAGAATCCAGGAAAATCGCAGGAACCATCCAGAAGATTTTCTTAGTGACAAGTTTCTGCAATATTTTGTATTGCTTAATATTGTCTAATATAATATTTTGAAGGCTAATTTTCAAATAGCGATCTGAAAGCAAATAATGTAAACAACGGTTCACTTTCCGATAATTCTCGATAATTTTGTAAAAAATATCAGAACATTTGCAAATTTTATTAATGTTGTTAATTCGTTACTCGTTATTTATAAAAGAATATAATAGGAATATTTATATAAAAAATATGAAAATTGAAAGTAAAATTTATTTTATTTCCTTCTTTTCCTCTTTCTTAGGAGGAAAATCTAACAAATGAACATGAAAATAATAAAATCTGCGTGTTTTTTAAGTGGAGGCAATTTCGAATGAAAATTTCCAAAATTAACTTCTGCGATGCAGAAGTTTGCGAATTTTTATCTGATTACAGTAATGGGAATTGAAGGAAAAATGATTTTTATAATTTCATCATAATTTCAAAAATTTCTTTTTATTTTAATTGGTACTTTAGATTGGTACCAAAGAACGTATTTTCACACGTGAAAGAATGATATGTGCTGCTAATTAACTTCATTTGCAGCAATAAAGTTGAAAATTCGATGACGCGATGATGATACTTTGAATCTTTGGCTCCACTTATTTTTAGCTTTTTCCTTTTAAAGAACATTTGCCAATCATCTCTACTTGGACTTATCACGTTGGCCTAAATTGGCTTTAATAGGACTGAAATTTTGCCAGTGAATCACTTGGTGATTGAATTGTAGGCGAACCACTAACATCTCCTCAATTTGTAGGCCACATTCACATAAGCCTAAAAAGCCCGCATGATGAGGTCTTTCTCCTCCACACGTACCACCACTGTGCGGTGTCTTTCAGTTCCAATGCTTTTTCTTCTCTTCTACAAGTTGCAAAAAAATTTTTTAACAAATTGACAAATTAACAAATTTATTCAATATTTAAAGTTCTAGAATAAAAAGTTGATTAATATCTGATAAGAAATACAAAAAAATGCGATACAAATTAATTGCCACCACGAAGACGAAGAACAAGATGAAGCGTCGATTCCTTCTGAATGTTATAGTCAGAAAGTGTGCGCCCATCTTCAAGTTGCTTTCCCGCAAAGATCAGACGCTGCTGATCGGGTGGGATGCCTTCCTTGTCCTGGATCTTGGCTTTTACACTCTCTATTGTGTCAGAGGCTTCGACTGCTAACGTAATTGTCTTGCCCGTCAGCGTTTTTACGAAAATTTGCATTCCTCCTCGTAATCGAAGTACCAAATAAATTGTTGACTCCTTCTGAATATGGTAATCGGACAATGTTCTGTTATTTTCAAGCTGCTTACCTTTAATCAACCAAAATGATAAGAAAAATAATTCTTAACAATAAATTTAGAATAAAACAAATACGACAACGATCAACAAAAATTTATTTTATCTTACACGAACACTTTCGTTTAAAAAAAATTGCACCTAATCTGAAATATCTCAAATTCATGTGATTAAAAAAATCTTAAAATGAAAAATCTTTTTGCCAAAGTCAACAATCAGTGAGAAAGAAAGGAATAAAGAAAGGGACAAAACCATTAAAACCAGAACGGACCAGCAAAAATAAGGCGTTGCTGATCTGGTGGTATACCCTCCTTATACTGAATTTTTGCTTTCACATTCTCAATAGTATCCGATTCTTCAACCTCCAATGTTATCGTTTTACCGGTAAGCGTTTTTACGAAAATTTGCATTCCTCCTCGTAATCGAAGCACCAAGAAAAGTACTGACTCCTTCTGTATATTGTAATCGGATAATGTTCGCCCATCTTCAAGCTGTTTACCTGTAATCAACCAAAATGATAAATTTTTGATAAAATGATAAAAATTCTTAACAACAAATTCGATAACGACCAGTACATATTACTTTTATTTTATGTCTTTATTTCATTAAAAAAAAACGCATAATTTAACCAACAATTAAAGAGAAAGGAATAACGACGAAACATAGAACGAACTAGCGAAAATAAGGCGCTGCTGGTCTGGTGGTATACCCTCTTTATACTGAATCTTCGCCTTTACATTCTCAACGGTATCCGATGCTTCGACTTCCAATGCTATCGTTTTACCAGTAAGCGTTTTTACACAAATTTGCATTCCTCCTCTAAATCGTAAAACCAGGTGCAAAGTCGATTCATTCCCTATATTGTAGTCCCATAATGTTCGGTCGTCTTGCAATTGTTTTCCTTAAAAAAAATCTCGCTGGATTGAATTTTTTCCTACAACAAAGCAAATAGGAACGAAAAATATTGAATATTGAAAATTTCAAAGAAAAAACATAAAAAGAACCAAAGAATAACCAATCGAAGGTACCATTCGCAACTTTACCGAAAATTTCTGCAAAACAAGAAACCAAATATTATTATTTACCGGCAAAAATAAGTCGTTGCTGATATTTTGGTATTCCCACTTTTTCTTGTATTTTCCCCTTAATATTCTCAATTGTATCGGAAGCTTCCACTTCGAGTATCATTGTTTTACCAGTTAACGTTTTCACGCAAATTCGCATATTCGAAAACACGCAAATGGCAATTTAATAATTCTTAATAATTCTGAAAAAAAACTTAGAAAAATGTGGGAATTCATGACAAAAATTGGATTTCTTCACCATTAGGCACCTTAACATTCAATAATATTCAACGAGTTTATGAATTTTCTAAATCCTCTAAAATTGTCCCATCCCATTTATAATATTCCATATAAGCTATTATTAATCTTATTCTAATTTAGCTATGGCACTTAATGAAACCTACCGCAAAAATTTTCCTTCCCATTCTCCCTCTATCACCGAGATGGATTCATTAAGTGCCATATAAACCCACAAAACCACATCCTCGGCTCATAGTCAGACCAATGCAGCTTTGGTTCGCTCCACTGGTGATAGAATACAAATTTCGAAAGGTCAAAAGCGGTATTTGCGTGACCTATGCTGCTCTATATCGATAAAATATTACAATATAAATAATGAAAAATCAGTTCGATTTTTTTCGCATTAATTTTCAAGAGGAATATAAAAATGTATATAAAATCTTTTTTTAAAAAATTTTTCCTGAATCAAATATTTTAGAATCGCTTTATTTTTATTTTCTTATTTTATTTATTTATATTTTTATTTATATATAATTTTATTTATATATATTTTATTTACTTATGAAGATTTATTATTTATTTGTTATTTAAATTATTTTTTTTAAAATTCTTAATCGATTCAAATTAATTGAGAAATATTTATATAATTGTGAATAAGTTTTTTCATGAAAATTAATCGAATTTCTTCACGAAATTTGTTTCTTCAGATGAGAATTTTAATGTTATTTAACGACAACTAAACACAGTGAATATAAAAATTAGATATCAGACAATTTCATGGAATATTCAAGCGCAACTTTTCACTGATTTATGGGATAGTGTAATGATTAAGAGGTTTGCGATTATGATGTAGCGATTAATTAATCTGACAAAAAGGGTCCGAATTGCAGCTAATCCTCTCTACCTTTCCGGCAAGCGCATTTGGCTCTGAAAACTTATCTGCCTTACCTCAATCTGGCAGATCTCTGGTAGAGGACTCGAGATTGAGGATAAGCCATACTACCCCTAAAGCGTGAGAAGGGAATTTATAAATTACATAGACATGTTATATGTAGGTATGTTGCATAGTAGTTGAAGCTGGCGTATGATATGGAATATGACAATGATGGTTCAGTTCGAATCGCTACCAGGCTGCACCTTTCCGCTGGGATATTTGGAACTGATGGAATGCTTCATCTAATAGGATTATATAAAACGTGCAAAAAGCATATCCCTCTTTGCAAAGAGGAAAAAACATGCTTGATTGGTCTCAATGCACCACTTTCTCGCGCGTACTCCCGACCAATTACCAGTGTTATATAACACCACAATTGCTAGTCATTCCTTGGAATTGATGCAATTAATACGCAGTTAAGTTCAACATCTATTTATGGCCACTGCAATATAAGAACCCGTATTCGAGCCACAAATGATTGTTGTCGCTCTGGATCCAGAATTAGGAATGTGAACTTTCGACGGACAAGCGATATCTTCACGATATTTGGATAAAGCGTAGACTGCTATCTCATGGCTCTTTATATCAATAAGCATGCTAACGACTTCTTTAAATGGGTTAGAATAATTCTCTCATTTTGTTATTTCAATTGCTAACTGTTCATAATAAAATTTGGCATTTACAGTAAGGTCAGAGGTCAAAGGTGAATAATTTTCATTTAATAGTCAATTAAATTTTAATTACATTTGAAGGAGTAAAAGTACTCGAGTGGTGCACTTGGTTCTTGATTAAGTATTAGAGGTGCGATTGCCTGACTCTGACAGGAATAAACCTATAATTAAAAAATTCAGATCCAGATGTTGGCGCTTATATTTCTATTACCAACTGATTCCAGATGGATTTTTTCAAACCAACCAGAAATGGTAGAAGCTAATCGCTTTATAATTTTATTCAGTTAATGACCGCAGTAGTTAGGTTGATTATTTGTCATATTGCTCATTGCGAAGATATACGACCTTTGACCCGCAAAAATAATACATTCCAAGATGACTCGAAGATATATATATTCCTTGGTTATTTAATAAAATGTTAAAAAAAACAGTTTATTGCTTCCAAAATAATAATATACAATAATATAAATAATAATATAATAATACAAAAATAGAAAAAAGCCAAACAATAAGAATAAAACAGCGAAACAGTACTTTTCGGTTACATGTATAGCATTGGCGAAATCCTACTGCAATCTTCTTTTATTTTTTCCTCTCTCTTTTTTCTTGCTTTTAAATGTTTGTAAACATGTTCGAAGTACCACAGAAATGGTTTCAATTCATGTGGCGAAATCTGCAATGAACGCGATAAAAATTGAAATTATTTATAATCCTCTGTATTTATAGTTATTTATAGTTTTTAGAAATTATTTATAGTTTTTTTACGAATCGACTGCTAAAACCCGATAATAAAGCTGAACTTTCAGGCTAAGAAAAACTTTCAGGCTATAATTGTGAATCGCTTGTTTCTTTCGATAAATCCTTTATAAAGAAATATGATGTTTCAAATGGAAGTAATAAAGTGATAAGGTTATTTAGTAATAAATAACCTGAAAAACCTTTACTTATAATTTTTACTTAATTGTTACCAAATGACACCAAAATCGAAAATTGAAAAAGTGTATTTGCTTTAGCTGAAAAAGAGGAATTCGATTTCTGTTCCTTGGATAATATTGGTCCTATGTATCGTTATTTAAGTAGAATATCCAATCGATGGATCAAAAAGTGAGTACCAATAGAGAGAGGTAGGAAAGGCCATAGAGTATAGAATATATATATATATTTTTAAGTAATCTCAACTATCTCAACTGGAGAAGGCGGAAACAAACAAGCCTTGAGATTGCTCTTCATCCAGTTTCACGCTCTGTTTTTACCGAACTTACCTTTTTAATTATAAATTGTGAAAAAAAATTCTGACATTTTGGTTGTATTATTTTATACTAATTTTAATTTAAATAAATTATGAGGTAACAAATGAAAAAAATTTTTTTTTGGCAGAAAAAGCACCCTAAAGGTGTAATGAAACCACTATTTTAGTTGTCTAATTTATTTTTTGTTATATATTATATTTTTTTTTAGCTAAATTCTAAAATATTCTAAAATTTTTAAAAACTTTAAGTTTTAAATCGTATAAGTTCTTTAGATCAATTTTAAATTGATAAAAATGCAGTATTATTAACAATCTTATAAAATGGAAATTACGACCTTCATAAATTATAAATGTTGGAAGTACCATTGGCTAATCTTCGAATTATGGACCTCTTTTGTTGATCTACTAAATGAAAATCTCATAAATCTTCAATTTATTAAACCATGAAATAATGATGTAAACAATAACACAAAAATGGATGAAGAAAAAATGATAATTTTTATTCGAATTCAAAATACTTATTTGATAATCAAATATACTCAAGCGATTTTTTCCAATGAAGTTATTGATAATATATTGATAATACATAAATTCTTATTGGTAATGCATAAATTCGATTGGCATCGAGGATTATTATATTTTTCTTAACTTACCGATGTCTTTATTTCTCCCTTTATCAGTTCCTTATCTGTTGTTGTTTTATTGCTAATTGATATTTCAAACTTTAACATTTCTCATTCTTACAATTTTTTAATGGAATTATTTATTTATTAATTATACCTTTATGAATATTATCGATATTAAATAAAGAGAAATTATTTCGATGTTTAGAATATAGTGGAATTGATAATAAAATTCCGTATCAAAACCAAAAAATTTTATATTATTTTAATTGAGGTGTTCATTTTATAGGAAATGGCTACAACTTCAATAAAACCAACATGGAAATATGGAAATGTTTTGCAAAAGAAGCAAAAAACAACATGTGTTTTCCTTATTTTTTCACTGATAATCAATTCTCCTTACTTATAATTCACTGAATTAAGTCAAGGAAGTAATTCTTACGTCAATAATATCGGATTCGTTTAACATTTTAACCTAATAATAGATCATGAAGGCTTCTAAAACCGTAAAATTTCTTTCTAAATTTTAAAAAAAATTCAATTAATTTAATTACTGAATCAAAGCTAAGTAGGATTTGGTCAGATTTTTTGAGTTTTAAAGCAAGTTTTAAATTTCTCTAATTGATTAAATTTTCTGCAAAATAGTTTTCTGAGGTATTATCATGGAAAGATTTTGTTTTATTAGTGGCATCCTTAAGTGTACCCTCTTCGTAGTTCAATTCTTTGTTATTCTTCATTTTATAATTTATAAGAATATAAAAATAATTTCTTTATATCTATCATAATCAAAGCTTTTCAATTTTTAGAATGCACAAATAAAAGAATATAAAATTGTTCCGAAATAAAATCTAGGATTTCATCTAGGATTTCTAAATTTGGGTAATTCTGATGACTTTGCTATTCCCAAGTAATTCTCTGGCAAAAAGATTTCATCCTTATTAATAGCTAAAAATTTATTATAGAAGTGATAAATAGTGAGTACTGTAGAAAAAAAGATTTTAAGACATTCAATATATCAATATATATCATTTTATATAAATAAATATACTGATAAATATCAATAAATAAATGTGGAAATTTTTAGTAGCAATTTTTAATGATTTGCTTTATTTTATTGCATCCTTATATAATAGTATTTTATTGCGAATCTTTTACTTGCTTCCCATTAAAAAAGTTTCGGCTTCTGACATTCGAAATATTTTCGGAAGTCCTGAGTTGATTGTTAGTCTTTTCGAGGTTTATTCAAATGTAATCGAGGTTAATTCAAATATAATCGAGGTTTTTCTAATATAATCCACTGATTTGCATAATATAATGCAAAAAAAGAGAAAGAAAATTGAACACTTACTGATTAAAAGGTACTCCTCGCTGCAAAATCGGTCACAGTAGCAGTGGCAGTAGCTGAGATTTTCATGCATTTTCAGCAAATGCAGATATCTTTCGAATTGATAGAGAATCGGTTTTACCGTTTCATTGATCAGAAATCATCGAATTCCTACTTACATATTTTGCCAAAAATCGAGAAAAGTTAAAAGTTAATCGAGATTCGAGAATGGGAATATTTAGATTTTATTTTAGCCAGCGGACAATACATATCGTTTTTTTTAAATTTTTCCTAAAATATTTTTTATGTTAATGGTACATAGAAAGGTATAATGCTTGTTATATAGATGGTATCAAATGTTCACCAATGGTGTTAAATTTGTGCTTGGTGGTGTCAACCTTGCTAACAAAGTCGAGAAGCTGTGAAGATTTCTCATTTTTCTTTCATTATATGACTGTTTTATATTTTTGATTGTTGGTTTGCTTTAAAAGATTCTGAATTTCCGAATGCCGAATTTTTGCATCTTTTGCATACAATATTTCTTAGTTTCTATAGAGAAATATTTAAGAATTAATGCATTTTGTGAGAGCATTGAAAAAAAATGGATTTGGACGATTTTTTTTAGAAATGCGAAAAATCGCTTTCTAAAATTTTATCTTATTATTTAATATTATTTACTCATATTATTTATTATTTTTTTTACTTTTATATTATTATTATATATTATATATAGTAATTATCATATTGCTTATATTATATTATTATATTATATTATTAATTTTTATATTGTTTTATAATATATAAAATATCCTTTAAAATTTTTGATAACGCCCTACTTATATCCGAATTTTTCGATTTCGTGCATATCAATTATTCATTTATTTGTGAAATGAATAAAGTTTATTGCCAAAATCAAAATGAAAATTTCAATCTCTCAAAACGGATAATTGAAAACGCACTGAGACACTTGTTAAATCCACCGAAAAATCCCGTAAACATGGTTTTTCGTAAATATTCCATAAAAAATTTGATATAAATTAGGTAGATTCTTTAAAAATTTTTTTAAAAAGTTTCTAATATATTTTATTTTTTTTAAGAGTCCTCGCCATTACTGGTTAAGTTCGCTCCACTGGCTTGTCGCATTAGGCAATATGCCAGGTGAATCGTCAGCATCACTTGGATTTTTGTACAGGTTTACTCCCGCGGAAAATCGAACCTCAACATCGGCGCTCCCAATTGAGCAACAACCCACTGCGGCATTATGTCCCCCAATATTTAGATATTTTCTATAAATTTTATATATTATCAAAGTAGAATAAATAATTATTTTTCCTTTTTTTCTTATTCCACAAATGATCCACAAATGACGCAAACTACGAATAAAGTTGAATATTACGAATTTATAAAGTTGAAAATAAACTTATTAAACTTATTAAATGGATTTTTTTCATTAAAAATCATGATTGGCAAATTGAAATTTGCACCTGTTGGATTATAAAATTTTTGCGAAAATACTTATATCGCAGTTCATTTTTTTCTTCAGTTTTAATCATTTCTCCATAAATTCCTTAGGAGAATTTCGGAAAAATTTTAGATTTAATATTAAATCATATGTTATATTATGTTAGCTGAGGGCTGAGTTTTTTTTTTTATTGGACCTCACCATTGCTGGTTAAACTCGTTGCGCTGGACAAATATGCCACGGAGTCGCTTGGCAATAGAAGTAAACGTGAGTCGCCAGCATTACTCGGATTTTTTGACAGATTTACTACTGCGAGAAATCGAACCTCAGCTACGAATTGAGCAACAACTCACTGAGCCATTCTATCCTTATGTTATCTTATCTTAGCTGAAGATAACTAATATTGATTCGATTGTTGTCCGTTAACAATAAGAGTATAATACTTATTGCAAATGAAGGTATGTGTTGAAAGCATATTTGTACTTCCAGTTCGCCTTTCCTATCCTCTAGTATTTTTTTTTAATGAAGGGCCATTTACAAGTCTAAGAGCCATTTTTTAAGCAATAGTAATCAGTAAAATCAGCTAAATTAGGAATGGTGCACGCTTAAAGAAAGGAAAATGATTGAGAAGTGATAAATAATCAGAACTAATAATTAAGAAAAAAAAAACTAAAAACTAAAATAAAGCAATTTTTTCCTTATTTGTAATACTAATAAATAGATTTAATCATTCTTACAATTTAATTTTCTGCTAATTATTGAGTAAAAAACTTCGAGAATCAAGGCTTGAAATCGAATCCACCGACGCACCACTCTCCATCGTGTGGCATTATTATGGAGAAAAGCAAACTGAATGGCTGAATGAACTATTGCTAAAAGCGCTGGTGCTGTGATTCTATTCCCCGCAGGAGTAAACCTGTCCGAAAATCGGTGTGATGCTGGCCTCTCTTCTCCTGTACTTCTATCGCCGAGGGTTCTCTGGCACTTTTGTCTAATCCGATAAGCCAGGCGAGTCTAATCACAATGATGAATATTCTTTAAAAAAAAGTGACTTCTTAGTAACTTAATAAAGTTTATCTAATAAGGTCACCTTGTTTCTTAGGATTCAATGAGGGGTAAAATAGTTGGGAATTCAATTCAAAATTCAAACTATTACCAGCAATTTACCTGTGCTTATTCAACTTATGCACTGGGTCCTTCTATATTTTTAGTTTTCACGCTGCTGTTCATTTGGTTATACATTGTTGTTTAATATATTTATTATTATTAATATTATTATTGTCATTAAAATTTTAAAATATATTTTTATAATATAAAATACAAATAGTATATATAATAATATAATATATATATTATAATAATTAATATAAAATAATTAATATAATATAAAATATATATAAAATTTTAAAATATATATTTTACTATGGTACTTCCAGTTGAATTATTTTAAATTATTTTTCTCACTCAGACTCAAATTTCTGTAAAATTATATAACATAAAGAAATATTTCCACCCATAGATTACAATGTTTATTGAGCTAAGTTTTTTGTGTACTTAGTTATTCATTCGCTGTCTTTCTTGCATTGTTTAGAATAAAAATTCATCATTAAGGCTTGTGAGCAATTCGGTTAACAAAATTTAGCTTGTATTTCATGATTCTTATGCTTTTTTTTGCAATTTAATTCTTTTTTTTTCCATGTAAAATTTCTATAAAAAATAGTTTTTTTCTATACACGTCAGAAGGAAGGAATATGAGAAATTAGAGAAACACCACGAGAGTGGAAAGTAAAGGCCAAAGTGATAATTGGAGCACTGCGACCCCTAAACTAGAAAAGTGGCTTTAGCAGATTCCATGAACGACATCAGAGGTCTCTATCTAGAAGAGCACACTATTATGAACAGCTATAATAATGCGCAGAACCTTCAACATTTCTAGGCTTCCGGTAGAGGACCCGAGGTTGAGAAGGATCATTCGATTACTAACATCCACAGGGGAGTGGGAGAAAAATTTTTTTAACTAATAAATTTGTATGAAAGTAAAATTACTTGAAGGAAAAATGAATAAAATTATATTTACGCATTTTATGATTTCGTTTAACCTTCTAAATTAGTATTTTGAAAAGAGAAATAATGAATAATGAATAAAAAACGAATTAATATTATTTAATTACTTGATTATTTTATTTTATAAACATTTTTTAAATTCTCATTTATTTGTTTCCAACGTTAATTTTTGTTAATTTTAATAATTGAATTACTCAAAATATTTAGCAAATACAAATTCGATAAAGGTTTCCCTGGAAACGATTATATAATTTTTATAATATTTCAATAGATAGGCATATATTTTGAATTCATTTGTTGCATTTTAAGAAATTGTGAAATGAAAATGAAAATTTTCTTATTCCTCTTCGAACAAAGCAATTTGCTGATTAAGGTCGGGGTTTTATCAGAAAGAGTGCAGGTGAAAATATAAGGGGATCTCCAATTCATGAATTTTACTTTTAATAAGAATTTGGAACCAGATGCATGCTGCTTGATTTTACGCATCTTACGATCAAAAAGATGGAGAGATGAAAAGATTGGGAAAGTCATTGAGAGGAGAAAGAGCCTTAGGAAAGCATGAATTTTAAAATGAATCTTTATTAATTAGAAATTCATGTAGAAAATAAAAGGATTGAAAAAAACACCTGGCAAAGGGGAAAGGAAAAAATGGAAAAAATTCGCTTCATCATATGGGCAGATTTGATTATTATTTTTATGCCATAGCTATTTTTTTTCTAAGAATCCTAATCTTTTCTGGTTAAATTCGCTCTATTGGTTTTATCGGGGTGTGCTAGGAATTCAGTTGACAATAGAAGAACGGTTGAATGACCCGCATCAGTGGATTTTTGAAAGACAGATTCACTCCTATCAGGAAATTTTTATATTATAATTTTAAATAAAACGGGATTTCAGCATAATTATTTAATAATATTTACTATTACGATCACCTATCACCTAGCAATCACCTAAGAATGGCGAGTCGTATAGAACCATCGAATGTGGCGCCACCACCATATGAATCTGCAATCGCCGATGATTTTCAAAAAACACCAACAGCACCTGTCGCAATTATTCCACAAACTCGTAAATTCTTCGTTGTTCCAAAAAATACCTTTAAAAATTCAAACTAACTATTACCACTTGTTTACCTTCTAATTTTCCCCAGTTTCACCTGGTTTATTTCTGATATTTAGCAATTTTTTCAAGAATATTACTATAGCTATCAAATTTATATTTGATATATAATAGTTTTTGGCATTTTCAACGATGAGGATTTTTCTAACTATTAATTAATTTTCACCATTTTTTAACTTTAGCAACAAATTTTATCAATTTTATCAATTTATTATAACTCTTTGATTTTTAACTTAACACTTAGTTCTTGATAAACTGATAATTTAAATGTTCATAAGTTATAACTAAATTTGCAATATAAAATTACCAGAAATTTTTTAATAATGGTTTTTTTAAGATAATTATTTAAAATTTATATAAAATGATTATATAAAATTTCAGAAGGACCATATACAACTATATTACTTGAACCAAACCAACTTCAAACTAGTACAAGTAAGTATATTTTGTATATTTTATATTATCAGTCTAATTTTATCAGTTGAATTTCTGGCTAAGGTTTATCATATCATCAGAATTTTTTCTTAGGATCATCATATCCAGAACTTTTTCTCAGAATTAATTATGGATCTATTTGATTCAGTTCCATTGTTCGCTAATTGAATAATTATTGAATTTGCTTATATTATATATATATATTTAAACTATCAGCTAACAGAAATCATTAATTTAGATTTAATTGTTCAGTCACCAACTAAACTTGTTATCGTTGATAATGCAGCTGCACGCATTTTCTGTCCTAAATGTCATGTACGTTGTTATACCTTTAATTTACTTTTCTATTTGTTCCTCGGTGGGAATTTCAGCTTATCATATATAAGCTTATCAGTCCTATATTCGTTACTTCCATGAAAATCGCTAAATTTTAAAATTACATTAGCATAGAAATTTTTGGACGAAAATCTTTCAATGATATGATGATTTTTTGCTAATTTTGAAAATTCAAAAATCCAATGCGTCGATAGATCAATGATAAAATAATTATCACCGACAACTGAGGCTTGAATCCCGCCGATGTACCACGTACTTCGTTGGGTAACAGCGACGCTTAACAGAGAATGATTAAAGGGGAATAAAATAGCTCACCGAGTTGTTGCTCAATTTGGAGCTCCGATGCTGAGGTTTCATTCTTCGCAAGAGCAACCTCGTCCAAAAATCCGGATGATGCTAGCAACTCGCCTATATTCATATTCACCAAGGGACTCTCTGGCATATTTGCCTATTCCAACAAACTAGCAGAGCAAGCCTAATCCGAAATGGTGAAAGCTTTTAAAAAAATTTTTACAAATTAAAGCTTATTTTTTTTTGTAGAATATAACTTTTGATTATGATTATCCATGCATACAATTATCATTAATAATGGTTGGAGTTATACTATTCTTTCCAATTGGATTGCTATATTTATTGTGCCTGGAGAAGAAACGAATTTGTAATCAATGCGATTTCATTTTCTAATTCGTTTTCAATTATTTTCTTATGATAACTGATAAAGATAAAAAATAAAAATATTCCGCCAGAATTAAATATTAAAATTAAATTTAACAAAAATGACGAGAAATTCACTTGCTTTATCTCTAAATACTTATGTATTTCGATTAATCCAAGTTACTAATGATTCCAAGTCTCTGTAAATAATAATCGCATATTGTATCAACAAATTGCCAGTCCAATGCGGTATCAGTTATTCAATACATGCTTTAATCGTTCATTAATCTACAATCAAGAATAAAACTGGATGACTGCTCGAGATTCAACTCCATTCCTATTGGGCTCATTCGTTTCACCAGAGGAGCAAGCAGAAGAGCAAGAGCCAAGCTAGAAATATTGAAAACTATTTGGAGTTAGAACTCATCTAGGATCAAACCTAAGTGCATTTATTATTTAAGAATATAGCCACAGACATTTAACGCAAAAAAATATTTATGGAAAACTTTCTGCAATTTTTTTGCACTTCCTAAGATTTTTATTAAAATTGCTATCGCTGTTTTCCAATTATTTTCTGCTATTATATTATTATTATCTACTAAAAGATAATAATATTAATCTTCCTTTTTCCTTATACTGAATTTACATCCAATAACCTTTCAAAATGACATGAAACAGTTCATTAAATTCAGCCCAATGATAGTTGCAATTAAACACTGGAAACAATGAGAGAAAAATAAAGTCGCAATTGCAGACAAAATGGATTATAATCGACAAAAAATGTTAATGATTTCTTTTTTCGATTTAATGATTTTAAAAATTTTTCTATAAATATCGCCAAAAGATTTATAAATGAAAATAAAGAACAATTTTAAAGATTTCATTTGGAGAATGAAATGTACACTCAAGTTCCATCAAAAAAAGAGAAATATAAAAATACTCAGAGCTTCTATTATAATAAGCAAATTTCTACAATTATTTATTGCATACATTTTTCTCATCTATATTTTTCTGTATGCCTTTGTCTCTATGCCTCATCGCATTCCAATCCCATTCATTGATCATTGCTATATTCAATTCACCTGAGCTCTCCAATGGAATATTTCCAGGAGGTGTTACAAAATAATCTTCGACAAGTGTTGCTGCATTCATAAAGACCTACAAATTATACTTGATCTCCCTATAAACTCTTCTTATTCTATGTATAGGAAGTAAAAAAAAAATGAGCAAAAGAAAAAAAAATAGATGGATTTTGAAAGAAAAAGATCTTTCGATAAATAAATAAAAATTTTATTCTTTGAAAACTGAAAAAAGAAGTTTGTAAATAAGAAAAAGCAAACTTCTTCTCGTGTTGTACAATCATCAACTAAATCTTCTCGCAAAGGGCAATCCAAATTTTCCAAAATTGTTTCTAAAGGTTCCACACCCTAAATGAATACAATTAATAGATGATAGATTTATTTAAATAATGATGTGCTATTGGTGAGACATCTATGATTTCCGAGGAAAAATTGATAAAAAATAATCAAATATATGCTAAAATAGAGATAAACATCGGAAAAAATAAGAGTTTTTATATAAAAATAACCAAGATTCCTTAAAAAATTCACCGTTGTATCGACAAGTTTCAACTGATTCGCATATTGCACAGCTTCTCTTAAATTAATAACAGCTTCTTCATTTGAGAATCGAACCAAAGATAATCTTTCCAGGTGATTTATTAATTCGTTATCGAAAAATGGTGCCTTTTCAACTTTCGTTTTATCGATCTAAAATTAGTCCAATTATTCAGCTAATTTATTTTTTTTTGCACCAAAAACTACCAAAAAAATGAATTTTTTTCGATATACTTTGCAAATAAGGAAAGAATAATTTCCCAAAAAATTTCTAATAATAAATGTTTTTTCGTCTTTTAACAACAATCAGAAAAAGTTTAAACCAATTTTTGTATCAAATTCTGGTATCAGAAAAACCAAATCGACTGTAGTGAGGCAAAACAAAAAGCCATCTTTGTTGCACTGTTGATTTCTTACTTTTGAAACAAATGGCTTCCTTGGCACGTATATATCATTTTCATTAGTTAATTTCCCATGAAAATCATTCTGTCGTCCACAATTATAACATAAAACTGATAGCAATCGAAGCACTGGTTGTCTATTAAATAAAATACTCATTGCCGTTCAATACACCTAAAAAACTATAATTATTAACCAGAACTAATTAACTAAAACTGATAAATTTAGTATGTTATCAGTAGGTTAATAGATATCAGATAAATCAATAATGTAATAATAATAGCAATGATAATTCTGAAATAATTCTCAAAATGTCGCATTTCTTGTCTGCGTATATATTTACAGAGGGTTATAAATTATAAAATTTTGAATGCAGAAAAATTCAGACCTGAATAAAAATGTATTATTTGCTTTAAAATTGCTAATAATTAAAATTAATTAAAAATGATAAGCTTAGTAGGTTTATTAGATAGTTTAATATGTTTACAAGGTACCATGAAGAGCAAATGAACCAGGTGAATGCCCCTAAGATGCAAATATACGATAATTATAAAATTAACAATTAACAATTCAAAATTTGAAACTGAAGCTGCAGTTCGACCGAATTGCAATGTTTTTCAGCCTCGGCTTCAGCTGCGATTGCGGATTATTCCAGTTGTTTTTTCTCTTTTTATTTAATTTTAATTGTTTTTTCAAAACTTTTTAGCGTTTTTTATTTTAATTATTTTATTTCATTAGTTTATTTGTCATTATTTCTAAAATATTCCTTTAAAATTTACTTCAATAATCATATTAATTATTTTTTTTTGAAATCTACAATTTTTAAATATTTTATTTTGAAAAAATAACTAAAAATTGTAATTAAATAATAAATAATTAAATAATAATTAATTAAATAATTAAACATAAATAATTAAAAAATAATTAAAAAATTAACTAAAAGGTATTGAAGATAAGTTAGATTTTATTTATATTCTTTGAAGTTTTATAAGTTTATTTTTACGCTTCGGTGGCTTTGTAGCAAAATGGTTATCGAGAATGGCTTGAGTTCGATTCTGGCCGACACTGACTACCACGCTTCGTTGGGTGGTATTGCTGAACGCGAAAAGTAAACGGAGGGTAAAATGGCTCAGTGGGTGGTTGCTTTCCAAGCGTCGATTATGGGGTTCTATTTTTAGCAGGAAACAAAAGCTGGCTTTCAATAATCTGGTTAATTCTAATAACTGTACTATCACTAAATGAATGTTTTGGAAAGATTTGACTGGTTCGACAAGTTAGCTGAGAAAATCTAACCAGCAATGGTAAAGGTTTTAAAAAAAAAGTTTTTACAATTTCTCACCAATTATTTTTTCTTTTATTGCTTGTTAATTTATATATTTATTTATTCTTATAAATATGAGATATTCGTACCTATAAAACTATGAAATCAGCCATAATTTCTTATGAAAATCATGGCTGATTTCACGTGCCCGACTTTAAATATCTTGAATCGGACCGAGCAGCTTGGAAACGTCTTACCGTTTAGCCAGCGGAGCCAACTTAACCAGTAATGATGAGAGCTGTTAGAAGAAGAAGAACTATGAGAAATCCATAAAACCACAAAACATAAAACTGAATCAGCCATGACTATTAAAATCTCCCTGAAATATGTGTTACTTCTATTTTTCTTAGATATTTCTGTGTTTTCGATTCAAATTTGCATGGTAATAGTAATGGTAAATTTGCATGGTTCTGTTTAAATTTAAGCAGGATTAGGAGTATAAAAAACTTTTTATCGTTTCTTATGATATTGCTTTAGGAATGAATTGTTTTGCTTTTAGCCGCTATTTTGTCATTACCGACAAGAAATATTGAACTTTTTGTTTTTCTTTTTATTAATTATTTTTATTTTCGTTTTTTACTAATTATTTTTGCTACTTATAGAGGTAATAAGAGAACAATAATGGATTTGGAACTTGAGTTCCATGAGAATAAAACGAAGAAACCAAAAACATCGTCATCTTTTCGGAAAAAATCTCCTCAGCATTGGAACTCAGATGATGTTTATTGCTGGCTTCTATCAATTGGATTTAATCAATATGCCGATTTTATCGCTTATGAACATAAAGTAGAAATTAAAATTTTCCGTGCTTTTTTGAAATCGGATTAAATAAATTTGCTGTAAATGAGATCAAATGTTACCATACTTAGAAAGGCTATACTTAACCATGAAGCACCATCTGTTACCTCTGATATAGCTGATACGTTCGCCGAACATACGCTTGCAATTGCGAGCCTCCAGCAGAAGAAGAAATAATCTGTTATCCATAAGCTTAAGAGAAGACGGGAGAAGATCTTCGGGCTGAACTCTTCAGATGCTATCCATCGTCCTTCATAATGCACCTTCAACAAATGTATTTTTTAGTATGGAAAAAAGAAATATTACCAGATAATTGGAACAAAGCAATTATGCTCCCAGTTCTCAAGAACATAGGACATACTGCGACAATTATCGAGGAAACCTTTTTGCTTCTCAACAGACTTATGGAAATACATGAAATGGAAATACAGGACAGCAGGATGAGCCTTAACCAAGCTGGTTTCAGACCAGGGCGCGGTTGTGCTGACCAGATATTCACGTTAAGAAGGGTGAAACATCGCTTCAAATATTGCAAACCAATGTCACGTGTTTCATCCACTTTGCGGCTACCTTTGATCCTTTGATTCAAGAGCGGCGCTTTGGAGGGTGATGGAACGTGATGGTGTTCCAGAGAAAATCATTAGATTCATAAAGGCATTTTATGAGCGCATGTCGGCGCAGGTCTGTGTATATGGGGAGCTGACAGATTCCTTCGAAATAAGAACAGATTTCCGTCAGGGCTGCGTCCTTTCCCCTACAATATTAAACTATGCAATAGACTGGATAATAGATAATGCTTGTTGAAACTCAAGAGGTGTTCGAATTAGTCCAGAGCATCGTATCATAAATCTTGAATACGCTGATCATGTAGTCCTTTTTGGGGACAGTTATAATGCAAGTAATACTAAATAACGTGTCAGAAGATGCAGCAAGAATCGGACTCAAGACCATTGTAAATAAAACGAAAGCCTTTTCGTCTTATGTGCAAGAAGCTGATAAAATGCCTCTTTTTGTAAATTCATTGCCGGTTGAGGATATGCCCGATTTCAAATACCACTCTAATACCAAATGGACAGGCAAAAGATGATATTATAACTCGGATCATGGCAGCTAGAAATGCGTTCTTCTGATTGACGAAACCTTTATGGAATCGTCGTGAAATCACCATAAAAACAAAAGTCCGCATCTATATTGCCGTGATCCGTTCGATCTTATTATATGGTTCTGAGATATGGCCAATGAGAGTGGAGAATATCAAGAAGTTATCTGTCTTTAACCACTCTTATCTAAGATATATTTTACGGGTTCGCCGAGCGGATAAAATGTCACAAGATCACATTTATCTTCGTTCAAATACCACTTGCATAAATAATATTATAGAGCGCCGCCTTTGCTGGTTAGGGTATATTCTTCATCCACCACAGGAGTTGATGCAAATTTCTTGGTTGTGTGATGGTTGGCATTACAAAAAGAGGCATTTTATCATCTTCTTGCACATAAGACGAAAAGGCTTTCGTTTTATTTATTTACAATGATCTTGAGTCCGATTCTTGCTGCAGCTTCTGACACGTTATTTAGTATTACTTGCTTGTGTGATGGTTGGCGTCAAAAGCGAGGTGGGCCAATCAAGATTTGGACCGATACGATCAGAAGAGATTTTGAACGTATTGGTTGACCAGCAATATATGGACTTAGAGGATGGAAAAAGGAATAGAAGAAGAATAAAAATGGAAAAGAGGACTTGGACAAATTTTAGCATTTTTCTTCTTTTATGACCATGCACCATTTCTGTCTGACTAAGGAAATGATGTTTAAATCTTTTTGCTTGAGAGTCATCGGGATATAAGAGAGTAAAGATGGATTTCCACAGTTTGGCTGAGCAATGTGTTGTCTTTATTTATTTATATTTTTATATAATATTTTAATATACATATATATATATATATATATATTATCATTATTTTAATATTTTATTATATATTGAAAAAATTTGTCTTTATTTATGATGAAAAAACTTTAATAGGCGTAGATTTTTAATAAATGATTTATAAATTTAAATTTTAGATTGATGGTGTTGCTTTGTTGATGCTGTCTGAGAAAGATTTACGAGAAAAACCAATGGAAATGCAATGTGTTGGTGATATTAAACGTCTATCGCTTGCTATATCGAATATTAGAAATCGTTATCAGGTTTTTAATCTTTATTAATGTATATTTTGCGCATAAATTGCTTAAAAAAATTAAATTGCAATTAAATCAAATTAAATTATTAAATTATGAATTAATTAAAAAATTATACATAAAAAATTGAAGTGAAAATTAAAATATTAAAATATGTTAGGAAAAGAAAGCTCATTTTTTCGTAATTTTTCTCAAAAATCAATATGACTTTTATCTTTCCCCACTTAGAATTTGCTTTAGAATTATAATTTGCTTTTCTCCTAGGTTCAGTTAAATTAATTGTAAAGTCTATGATTTGTGTTTATCAGAAATCGATGGAATTAAGGAAGACCTTACTTATTATATGATTCCTGTATGATGATATTTCTTTTTACATCGTGAGTATACTGCGAAATAAAATAGTTTAAAAAAAAACTCATAGTTTTTTAATTTTTTGCATTAATTATTATCTTATTTTACTAACTGATTCGGCTTAATATTGCCTGATTATCATTGCCATTAATTTTTAAAATAATTTTTCTATTAACAGAAAAATCGTAATCTTGGAAAAATTGAGCATAATCTGATGAATTGAAATCGTTTTAGGGCAATTAAGATATTTGAGAATTTGCAATACTTCAAATTTGAATTTGTTCATTTCATTCTCGCCGATTATAAAGGTACAAAGTGGTTGCTTCTACCAAAACATTCCCATCTCTTATCCTTAGTATTGAGAATCCATGTTTCTTCGAAAGAAAGCTGTTGAAAGGAGATTTTGCTTATTAAAATTTTTTTTAAATTTCAATTTCGAAAATTATCAAAGAAATTCTTCTTTTCAGTCAGTTTTCCATGAGTATTCTTTTGATAACCCAGTCTGGGACGATGACATTGGCAATCTTCAAATTTGTGGTTTCAAGTTGATTTTTTATTTTATTCTTTTCTTATAACTTATTTTCTTATTTCTGGTGAATTTCATTTCTAAAATCCTGTTTGAAATCCTAAAAAATGGACTTCGTGGTGTAGAATAATATATTTAGATTATAGAATATAGTATTTCTTAGCTTGAATTTTATACAAGACAAGAATTTGTTTAAAATTTTATTTCAAAAATTATATTTATAAGTAATTACAAGTAATATTAATTAATAAAGAAAATAAAAAATGATAAATTATTTCTTAGTATATCGATGAAAATAATGATACAATTTTTAATATTTTACCTTTTTATTTATATCGTTTGTTTCAGTAAAAGTGATGAAAGGGATGAAATGATTGGACATAAGTTGTTAAGTAAAGAAGAAATTATTCGAAAGGTTATTAACATTCGATTTTTCAAAAAAAAAATAATTTTCACTACTTATTTTTTTTATTGCTAAATCATTTTTATGCTAATTATGCTAATTAATTGAAGGTTGAAAGTCCTGATACAGAAAAGAAATCTTTATTCAAACTTGGCATCGCGCTATCCTATTGTGCACTTTCTCTCTTGATAGCAGCTTTTGTAATGGTCTATGTTCACGATCGGGTACCTGGTAAATTCACGATTTTACCATATTAATGGATCCAATATTTTCTTTCATTTCGATTAAAATATTTTTAAGTACTGTAAATTTGAATAATTTTAAAGACATGGATCATTATCCTCCGCTTCCTGACCTTCTTCTCGATAGCATACCGAAGATTTCGTGGGGATTTCAAGTATGTGAAATAATTGCGATTATTCTATTCGCACTTTGGTTTATGATCTTATTTTTTCATAAACATAGGTTAGTAAAATATTCTATTAAATTTTTAAAATTTTTTAAATTTTTTAAAATCATTTTACTCAATTATTTCGATTATTTTTTAATTTTATTTCATAGATTTTCAATTTTTTTATAGCTATATTTTATATTGCTATATTGTATCACATATTTTTGAAATGGTTTCGACAAATTTATTTTGATAATGGTGATAATCATTTTAGAAAATATTGAAAATATTTCATTAAAATTTTTTATTAAGGAATCGTTATAGAGTTGTTATAATGCGCCGTATGTTCTCTCTTGTTGGCACGGTTTTTTTACTTCGTTCTGTGACAATGGTGATAACATCATTGTCCGTTCCTGGTGATCATGTTGAATGTCGTCGACATACTGCTAATAACACAATTAACGGCTCGGCGTCTGATAATGATATCGCTTCAGTCCAGGTATTTACTTTTAAAAAAAATTGTGAAATCCTGAGTTTGCCTGGTTGAAAATGTGATTCAATTTGGTGAAAATTTTTTGAACAGAAGTTAGAAATGCAGCATGAAATAAATATAGTTAAATTGGCATTGCTATGTTATTTCAGTGTAATAGAACGTTAGCATCTCAGTTATTACGTGCTTATCATATATGGTCAGGTTTGGGTATGTCAATTCAAGGTGTTCGAACGTGTGGTGATTATATGTTTAGTGGTCATACAACCACGGTGACATTACTGAACCATTTCATTACTGAATGTTAGAAAAATTTTCTGCATTTATTGCTCTTCTCTGTCAGGAAAGAATTTATATAAAGTAGACACAACTGTTGTGCCATTATAATTAAGTCCGAATTATTGCTGGTCATCTTAAGTTACGCAAAATATATTTTGATAAATATATTTAATATCTATATAAATATATTTAATGATTTAAAATTACTTTAGGTAAAATTTTCTTTTAGAATTTAGAATGTTTTAGAATTTTATCTTTTTTTTTTTAATTTTTTAGCTTTATAAATAAAAACATTTCAGACACGCCGGATAATTGGTATGGTTTACATACGGCAACATGGGTTTTAAATCTATTTGCGATATTTTTTATATTAGCTGCACATGAGCATTACAGTATTGACGTATTTATCGCATTTTATATCTCATCAAGAATGTTTCTTTATTATCATGCATACGCTTACCATCATTATAACGTTACGAAAAAAGATGGGCGAATGAGAATTTGGTTCCCACTTGGATGGTTAGTTTAGTTTTTTAGTTGACTTTAGTTATAATTCTTTACTTTTTTTATAAATTTTTTAAAAAATTGAAATTCACAATTTATATAAATTTCTTTAATGCTTTTGATGTCATCAATTCGTTCCCTTTCTTTCTTCCCATTTAGTCTTTTATTATAGGGAAAAATCAGAATTGAAGCATCAAGTTGGAGCACCATAAAGTTTTTTGATGAAATGGATATATGAATCATTTCTGAGAATCGCCTAAAATATTTTGCAGGTTTTTCGAAGCGGGTAGTTACGGACGAGTCGATAATGAATTCGAAGTACCAAGCTCATTATTTTTATTGCCGCAGCTACTTTCACGTCCAAAAAATTCAAAGACCTCACCATCGGCAGAAAAAAACCAGGAAACTCAAAATCATTTAACAAACCTAAGAAAACGAAGGAAGAAAAACTGAAGTGAAATTGATCGATGTCAGGTCTCATCAATAAAAAAATCATTGATGCCCCAACTTCATTAATAAGTTAGGACAACGCTGTTCCTCGAATCTCCGGTCCCACTCATCTTCCAATTTTTCTTCGCGTAACGTTTGTTACTTAGATCCTTTCTTAGATTCATTGTGCAGTATTGTATGAAAATTTTTAATCATGTGGCGAAAAACCACGCTTGAACCACCTGCACCTCCTGAGTTTTTAGGTTATACGTCTGAACCATTGCCTCACCACCGTTTTTAATGAATGCTCATCGATGCAACAGTTTTCATTTTCAGTAGTTGGTAAATAATGTGCTCATATTAGTACAGCTTTAGAAAATTTCCGAAGCAAAAATAATCAAGCAAATTTATTCTAAAATTTAAGCCTCGCACAATAAAAAGTTAAATGATAGAAATATTGGATACAGAAATTTTTACAAAAAAATGCGATACAAATTAATTGCCACCACGAAGACGCAGAACAAGATGAAGAGTCGATTCCTTCTGAATGTTATAGTCAGAAAGCGTGCGCCCATCTTCAAGCTGTTTTCCCGCAAAGATCAGACGCTGCTGATCGGGTGGGATGCCTTCTTTGTCCTGGATCTTGGCTTTAACGTTTTCAATCGTATCTGATGCTTCGACTTCTAAAGTTATCGTCTTCCCAGTTAACGTCTTCACGAATATTTGCATCCCGCCTCTGAGTCGAAGAACCAAATGAAGAGTCGACTCTTTCTGAATATTATAATCTGACAGAGTTCTGCCATCCTCCAACTGCTTTCCTGCAACCATTATGCTTTTAAACCTGCACAAGAACACCAGAAGACACAAATCAAAGTCACAAAAAATTAAAAAGAAACAAACATACGGAAAGAACATAAAATCTTCACCTAGATATAACCATAACACACCTGCGAAAATAAGACGCTGCTGATCCGGCGGGATACCTTCTTTATCCTGAATCTTGGCCTTAACATTTTCAATCGTATCTGACGCTTCGACTTCCAATGTTATCGTTTTACCAGTAAGAGTTTTGACAAAAATTTGCATTCCTCCTCTCAATCGCAACACCAAATGTAGAGTCGACTCCTTCTGTATATTATAATCAGACAAAGTTCGCCCATCCTCGAGTTGCTTGCCTAAACCAATCAAAACCATCAAATTGCATTTTAAAGACAATATTAGGAATAAAAACATCAAAAGAAGATCGCACCTGACTCAATTTCCCATCAACAACCCATAAAAAAACAAAAAAACAAACCAGCAAATATTAGGCGCTGTTGGTCCGGTGGTATACCTTCCTTATCTTGTATTTTTGCCTTAACATTCTCAATCGTATCCGACGCTTCTACTTCAAGCGTTATCGTCTTGCCTGTAAGCGTTTTCACAAAAATTTGCATTCCCCCCCTCAATCGCAAAACCAGATGCAAGGTCGATTCCTTTTGTATATTGTAATCTGATAATGTTCGACCGTCTTCCAATTGTTTACCTTAATATCAAATCTGAATTTGTTTTACGTCATTTCATCAATACACACACTAATGCACACTAGTATCGACAGTTAAAATTTTAGAGAAAAAACGGGACCGCAGAAGAAACAAAACATAACCAATCAAAGCAACTAGTAGAAATTTTATTAATGCACGCAGACGAAATTTTCTGCAAATAAGAAACAAAACGCTACTCACCTGCAAAAATAAGGCGTTGTTGATCTGGTGGTATTCCCTCTTTATCTTGTATTTTTGCCTTCACATTTTCGATTGTATCGGAGGCTTCCACCTCAAGCGTTATTGTTTTGCCCGTTAAAGTTTTCACGAAAATCTGCATACCGCCACGGAGCCTCAATACCAAATGCAATGTTGATTCCTTTTGAATATTATAATCCGACAATGTTCTCCCATCCTCCAACTGTTTCCCTTAAAAATTACCGAAACTGAAACTAGTAACGAGAGAGGCGCAACGCGACAAAGAGAAAAATCAATAAAAAAATTCAAATCAATTGCAACTATTCAATTAAAAATCATCCTTACCCGCAAAAATCAATCGCTGCTGATCAGGTGGAATTCCTTCTTTATCTTGAATTTTTGCTTTCACATTTTCGATTGTATCCGATGCCTCAACTTCTAACGTTATCGTTTTACCAGTTAACGTTTTCACAAAGATCTGCATACTCGGAATGACGCAATAGATAATTTATTGATTCTGAAACACTTTCGTCACCTACTTTAAAAAACTATTAATTCATTAAAAAATATAAGAATTTTACGAAAAAAACACGTTTCACAAACAGGTCCCTCACCAGATGAAAATTTTCACCAAAATTACTAAACTTCCATACCAAAGACCTCCCACTTCTCCATAATGGTTTCCACACAAGAACGAAGCAAAATGGTTAATCAAGAACCACGAAATAAACGAACCCCCGTATTTCTGATTACAACTCACTCTAACACCCCCCTTCCTAATCTAACCATTATCCATTCATCTGAACACTACTAGTCAAACTCAGAATTGCTAACCCCAGACCCACACCCTCAGTCCCGACCCAAACCCGCAGCCGTCGAACTCACCCACTAATAATGACTAATAAAATGATACGCTCCTCTTATAAAGCAACGTCTGACGCTTTTGATTGGTCGATTAATGGCAAGCTCCACCCACAATCGATGGGAAATTTTTTGAAATCAATAATTTTCAACCAAAAAAGTACCATCAGGGGACCGTTTTTATAGCAAAACAGAGACAACCTGAAATTGAAAACCGGCGGTGGGAAAAAAAAGCGAAGTGGAGTGGTAATGTCAAAAAAAAGTGGTAAGAAAGTAAGGCGGACGATGCATTCCTCACTTCTATTGATCAATCTAGTTAACATGCCTTTCCCCTCCCCTCTTTTTCTTCTTTTTAGGGTTTCTCGAATATCTTCTGCCTCCCCCTCCACTTTCATATCGATCTGTCGAAAAAACTACGAAATATTTCTAGATCATTCTCGAATGTTCTTTGACGGACTCATGTGAATATCATATGACTTATTTTTTCATAATTATGCGAATATATCGTTAGATTTGGTCATTAAACTTTGGTCGAGTCGGCGAGTTGCAAAGGCAGTCACGGAAGTTATCGCAAACTACTATTTGATAACTGAAGTTGCTTCCTATTTTACTGAAGGGAGTTGATGGTACTCTTGCTCTGACTAGATGTGTGGTCCCCTTTAATTGTGGTAGCAGCCATCGGCGGCTCATTAGCAAGACAACTGTCATAGAGAATCGAGGGACGTATCCAATCCGAAGTACCACGCTTCGTCAGGCTGCAAATGCAAAGGGCAATAGAATGGCTCAGCGGTTTGTTGCGCAACTCAGAGTGCTGATGCTGAGTTTCTGCTTCAGGTAAGAATAAACCCTACCCAGAAATCTGAGTTTCTTACCTGTATTTCTATTGCCAAGAGACTCTCTGGCATATTTGTCTAATCCGACAAACCAGTGGGGCGAGTATAATCGGCAATTGGTGAATGGTGAGTGGCTGTTTAAAAAAAAATGTGCGATTCTCCTTAACTGTGGTAGGAGCCATCATTAAAAAAACGTTTGTGCTTCACATGCTCTTCAGTCACCAACTAACCCCGGTTGAATTTTCTCCTCACCAAACCAACAACCGGCAGAATAAGCCGAACCGGATTTTTTTGACTTACATTGCGTTAGTGATTGCAATAACGATTAGTGATTAATTGATATCCTCTGGTGGATTTGAAATAAATAAAACAACCGAAAAATAAAATTCAAGGCGAGTAAATAAAAATAAAAACTCAAAATTATTAAAATTTTTATGCATAATCATTTTAATTAAATTATTAAATTTTATTTTAAAATTATGGCAGGCACTCCCATGACCTCTAACCTTTCAGCAAAAGAAAGATATATCCTAATAAAGATCATCAACCTTTTTAGCAAAAATGTTAATAAATTGACAGGAATCACAACTCCTCGAGTTCTTTATTAGGACGAAAAAACACTATTTTATTATTTCTAATAATATAATACAAAAAAAAAACCAAAAATAGTACAAAGGATACTAATTCGGTTACGTGGACTGAAATGGTAATTTCCTCCTTTCCTCTTAAAAATCCACATAACCGAAGTACCACGAAAAAGACTTTGGTATATGTGACATAGTCTGCGGAAATTATAAAAAATACAATCCACTTAAACTATCCACTTTGTAATTCTTTACGAACTGACTGATTAAACACAATACATAACTGCTTAAATTGTCGTTTTCGATAACATTCTTTGAGTATTGCAACGAAATGTGATGTTCCATATGGAAGTTCAGCAATATATGATCTGAAAATCCTTTACTTTAGTACTCAAAATAAGTAGGAATAATTGCATTTGCATTTTGTATTAGCTGAAAGAAAGCAGTTCCATTCTTTTCTTGGATAATAGCAACTCTTAGCAGAACAGGTCAAAACAATCGATAGGTCAAAAATTGAGAACCAATAGAGGTAAGGAAGGCCATAAAATATACAACTGATCTCTAACCACTTGGGTAATTATCTCAAAAGAGAAAGGCAGAAATGAACGATCTATAACCGCGGACGACTAGTTTCAACTTTCATGTTTATTATTTTTCCTATTTGTCATTCTTTTGTTTGATGGAAAAAACAACACCTAAGGAGTCATTGCGTAACAAAACCCTTACTCTAGCTAGCTAATTTATTCTTTATCCCACATCTCTGTTATCAAAAGTGATAGCCGAGGAGCTGTTAAAAGTGTACCCTGAGTATTCTGACAGTACTCTCTGCTCTGAATAAAGTTAAAAAACCAAAAGGAAAAAATGATGCATATTGATTAGAGAATATATAATATGAAGAGTTAAAGTGAAAAAACGTGAAAACCTGGTTAATTGTGGATATTTCTGATAACAAACCATTAAGGCTTCAGCGATTGATTCAATCGTTGCTTGTATCATTTCAATTTTAATTTGTGAAAATAATATTGTAACAATACGTTGAGCATTTCTTTGAAATAATTCATCAAATATATCGCTTGCTTTTAAAATTAAAATCGTTAATAATGCTGCACTTTTACGAGTTAAAAGTGGATTTGATGGATTTTTTGCCAAATTCTGAAATTTATTATTGCAATTAATGTAATAAACACCTTACTACTTCGATAGTTTCAAATTTTTTCTAATAATAGGAAGTTTATTTTTTATATTGTTTATACTATTTTTATTTTTTGACAACGTAATTTATCAAACGTAAATTTGCAGTTTAATTCTCTCCGAATGTTAATATTTTGTAAAATTCAAATCTAGCTAACCCTCAAATTATTAAATTACTATATGAGCTTTCATAAGTCTTCAAGTTATTATAAATACGATTAATGAATTATTGAACAAAAAATGCTGAAAAACTGGAAAGAATAAGAAAAGAAACTATTAGAGAAAATTCTTAAGGCTTACCTAATTTGCAGTTGATTATCTAATTTATACTTAATTTTGCCTCATCTTCTAGAAAAGAATATCTAAGCCTGTAAAAGAGGGGAAACTACTGAGGACTCAAATGTACTTTATTTGCTTATTATCTCCAGATGATCCTGAAAAAATCCTAGTAAAGCCAGTTAAAACAGAAACATTTTTTTATTTGCAATATTTTGTATATTATATAATAAAAAGGTTATGTAAAAATTTATATAATAAAAAGCACCTTTAGTGCAATATTAACCACATTTTCCAATGCCGAAAGTGAATTATTTTGATCGACCAAAAATAAATTCCAACTTTTTTTGATAAGATGATAAATAAGATCAATGTACCCTTCGGCGATTTCACTTTCACCAGTCCTATTGATTTCTTCAAGCCATTTCACTAGTGACGAAAATAATATCGATGAAACATCTGTCGAAGCAAATATCTTAAAATGTATTTGTGAAGTTAAAACATTTGATAATCATAGAAATAATTTTTTATTCTAGTATAGCATAAAACAAATTATTACTAATTATTATAATTAAGAATCCAAAAGATATTATTTCAGAATAAAAATGTTTTCTTTCGAATCTTTCGAAGTGCTTTATGTTTCAGTTAACTTCAGTGATTATATAGTAAGAGACCTAAGTATGTAGGTGAATCTGCTGCAACTTCTAATGATAAGTGAATAATAATTTTTAATGATAGCTCTAGTCAAAAAAATAATAGCTTAAGTTACTTGTCGATAAATGAACGTACTAAAATAACGCTTTTAGCAAAATTCGACACGATATCCACATGTTTTAATAATATTTCATCAATAACCTCGCAGTAATATTTTATAATCAATGCATAATTTCTATCGACAACAGCAAGCCCCGATCTTAATGCATCACAAACCTATAAAATATTCATTATCATTATTTTTCTATTATTATAAAGATTTGAAAAAAAAAAATGTTCGACTGTTTCGAATTTCGAAAAATTTTTCGAAAAAAAAATTTGAAAAAAAATTTTCGAAAAAAATTTTTATGAAATGAATAAATTTTTTTCAGCAAACGGTAGTAAAACTAACAACTTTTACTTACTTACTTTATCAACGAGAGTTTCAGAAGAAGAAAATTTTGCTATTAAATCACGAAAAAATGGTATAGATTGTTGCAAAACGATAAGCGCTGGCGATTCGGTATCAACTGATAAATTTAAATTTGAATCAGATTCTAAAATTATAAAATTAAATTATAAAATTTTGATTATAAAATTATAATTAAAATATTCTAACAATTTAGCCAATAGCCTTGGTGAACATTTAAAATAATTGGCTCATTATATTTTATACTTACAGTTTCTAATCGTAAAAATGTGATTATCTTGTAAGAGACCTAAATTTATCTTGGAAATATTTAAATATTTTATACTTACAGTTAAATAAATTCACTTATTTTATTATATATATTATATTTTCCATATTATATATTTTTTAATGTTTTTCATTTCGAATTTTATGAATTTTAATTATACTAATTTTATATATTAAATGAAAGTATTGTTTCTTTTTGTAATTTTATATCATAAATTTACCCCTCTGGTGAATTTTTTTATCAAGTTCCAAATTAATTTTTGAAATTTTTTGATAATAACGAATTAGTTTCAAAAAATATAAATCTTTCAATTAATTAAGAAATTATAAAAAATAAATAGAACCAAGCCATCGAAATTAATCGTCCGTAGCATGCTTGAGATCTTCATATTACTACAAATGAAAACCTTTATTTTGGTCGTTGGCTCACATTAATACATACCTCGATACTTTCTAAGCACTATGATGGATGGAGAAAAACAAAGAAAGGAGAGAAAGATATCTTATGAAGAATAATAATGATAAGGAATGATAAAAAGATATCAGAAAAGCTTACTTATATATATTTAAGTGCCACATCTTAAGAGATTCATATTTAAATGGATAATAAATCTAGAAGACCGAACAAAATGTTGAAAGCAACCTTAATCGTGATTACATGATGTCAAATCATATATGATTAAAAACTGTGCTCATTTATTCTTTAAATCTATTTTTTAATCCGATCTTTAAAATTCTTATTATCTATCAATCAATTCATTAATCTCATTAATCTCCCTAAATCGTGAGTTGACGATCGCGAAAATTATCATCCACATGGCAGATCAGATAAATTATTAACGAAATTAGAAGATCTTGATAATAGCGAATTAGTTTCTACAAAGCATGCGAATGATACTTGAGATCTTAGTATTTTTACAAATAAAAATCGTTATTTTGATCGTTTACTGGAAAAATGGCTAAGAAATCTTTTAGCTCATTGAATTTGATATTTTGCTTGTAATTTTTAAAAAATTATAAAAATGCATAAAATATCCATTAAATACAAATCAAAACTCGAATTATAAAAACTAATACGAATGATGGAATGAAGAAACGATTTTAATCAATTGAAATACACCCAAAATTAAATGGATTGGAATTAGTAATTACAGATTATAAATATAATTACAGATCAAAATTAAAGAGATCGTCTAATTAAAGTTCTAATAAAATTAAAGAGATAAATTAAAGAGGGAATGATTTCCTTCATCGGCAATGCTAATTAATGAAATAATCTGTTCTATAATTTTTTCAATGAAGTTGTTTTTAAGCAAAATTAAATGAAATTATTTAATTTTCAAATTTTGAGCGCAAGCATAAGCCCAGATTAGCTTAAGTAAAAAAAAATAATTTAATTTTAAGTAAAAAATAAAGATAATTTTTTTGATATATAAAAAATTCCTTTCTCATTTCCCATATGATTGACATCCTCAATCCCTATTAGAGGCGTGAGAGCTTGTTCTGCGCCAAGCTTCTTAGCGGCGCATTGTTCTGAATAATTTTTTTAATTTTTCACTGAATTCAATGTTCAGAGGTTTTGCTTCTGGAATCTGTTGCAATCTCTTTTCCAGTTCAGGGACCACAGCACACAGTTCCTACCACAACTGGAATACTATTGCTTTTGCTTTCCATAGTTTTTCTCTAGTTCTATATATATATATTATATAATGTATATACATATATATATGGAAATTAGCAATAATAATACAACTAATGAATGTCTTAGATATAAAAGGCATATAAAAAATAATATCCTTTGAAAGAGAGAAAACGATCTATGGGACATTAAACACCAATTAAATTATCTATCGTGAGCCATATTCCAGATTCAGAATAAAATAGGTCTGATAAGATTTGCAAAAACTGAAAACCTGATTTTATCTTTATCTTCAGGGTAGCCATTAGCGATGAGAAAACAGATATTTCAAATAAACATTCTGCTTCGAGAGCCTCTAAAGAAGATGAACTGGACGTACATTGACCATCGACGATTCCTTGAAGTCTTTGAAGCCGAGGAGCTAATATTGTATTTAACGATTGCTAAATAATATATTTACGTGAAAAATCATATTTTTTATATATTCAAAAAAAATACCAAACGATAATGTAGTGCATATTCTATGGAGAACATTAATAAGATTTTCTCTACTCAAAGTATTCAAAAAATAAATTTAAAAATACTGAAAATACTGTTTAAAAAATAAATATGCAGATATTAATTTTGCGGAAAATATTTTTTACCAGCACAAAAGATGGTTCTGCATTGGATAATGAATAACCGATACACTTAATCGCAGTTAATCGAACGCTAATAGGTAATTGCTGATTTAAAAACAATTCGTAACATCGACTAGTGAATTTACACATTTCTATCTGAAAAGCTAAGATTAAAATCTCATATTTCCCAATAAAAAACCAGAAGAAAAAAATGAATATTTTGTAAAAGTATATTTTTATTATTGTATATTATTATTATTAATATTATTACTATATATTGTATATTTTTATTGGTTTAAAAAAAATAAGAATTAATGGAAATAATAAAAATATAAAAAATCTCCATGTTGCTGAGGATGCAACTATCTTTCTTCTATCCTATCCCAAGTATCTAGCGAAAAGGTTTAGCAATGTCGTACTTCGTATAACTAGTCAAACCAAGTAGTGCTTAGAATAATAGAAATAATAGAATAATAATAATCAGAATAATAGAAATCCTATTAATATTTGAAAAAAAAACTTACATTTAAATCTACGCCATCTTTGATATATTTTTCCAACACATCCAAAGCATCACCAATCATAAACTTATTTTTCATAACAAATAGAATTATTAGTAAACAACGTTCGACCAATTTTTTATTCTGAATGTATGACGACGAATTAAAAAAAAAATTTGACTAGTTTTTACAAAAGAAATAAAAATGAAAAGAAAACTTAAAAACTTAAAGAAAACTTGCTTCATTATGAGTGATTATCAAATGAGAAAGATTGTAAAGAAGGCGCAAAAGTGTTTTGCCAAGACGACATTGTTCAGTCCTACCACCGTAACACCAAGAACCAATCAATCCACATAAATCTATTAATGCATTTATTTGGTCTGCATTCACACTTCCCATAAAATCCGCTACTTCTTCTAGGAGGAATAGAACAGCTTCGGTCCTTAAAACTCTATGTTATCTAAAAAAAACAATGAAACCTTCCACCTTAGACATTTCATTAAGATTTTTAAAGCAATATAAATAAATTTTATATCGAATTTAAACACTCCTTCTCCCTGGGAGTTTAGTAAAAACTGGTGGAATTTTCTTGAAATCTTACCTCTAATTTTTTTTGCGGACAGACAAAAGCACTGAAGTGCTATATAATTCACAAATAAATAAAAATGTGAAATTCTATATAAACAAATTTTTTCTTGAGAACTACGTATGGATCTCTAAAGATTAGTGGGTATCAAGTCATGAAAACTCAAACTTAAACTTAAACTCAAACATGAGAAATATTTAAAATAATAAAATAAAAAAATATTCAAAATAATAAAAATCAATTCAAATATCAAAAACTTACCTATATTCATTATTTTTATTTACTGCTTCTGTCAATTTATTAATAAGAAATGAGATAGTTTCTTTGCTAGCCATTTGATAAGCAAATAGAGATATATCAACTCGATTTGCACGGTATCTGAAATATCTTTCACCGTAAAATATTAAAATACAAGTATCATTTATCTATCTTAAGTATCTATATATCATTTTTCTTCTCATCCTCTTGCATTCCTCCTAATGGATAAATGTTCCTTAAGCTAAAACTTTGAGCTAAAACTTCTTGTGTAATTAATTTACTTGATTTTGGTTTTATTTGATTTGTTATTATTTATTTATTTTTTTATTTATTTTTATTTTTCTATTTTTTAAAATTTTTTTAAATTTTTAGCTTAATTTTTTTTTACCTATCTTTCATTGTTTCTTTATCAGCAATAATCAGTAAAAATGGATTGTCTCTAAAATAAATGAAAAGCTTGTAAAAAGATGAAAAATTTAGATCTTAAAAAATAAAAAAATAAATAAAAATAAATTTAAAAAATTAAAAAAGAATAACTCAGAGAAATAAATGAAAATTAAATAATTTTTTTTTTTGTGTTTTCTTTTTCTGTTATCTTTATCTTAACTGTTATTATTAATATAAGCACATGGCGTTGTCGCCCTGCTTGGCTGGTTATCAATAAATAAATAAATTATTTCATTAATTAATTTAGAAATGCGTTATTCAAATTAACATACTCTTCAAATAAATCCATTTGTTCTCTGTCGTATGACTGATACTCTTCATTATTAGGGTATGTGATCTTATCGATAACTGTCTCTAGGCACTGCGCAATATATGGCCGACAGATTTCAAGTCCCTTCAAGAAAACAAAGATTTAAAAGAGAAAAAAATATTTGAAAATTTTCATTCTTTAAAAAATATACCTTCAAATAATATTTCTTTCGTTCAGAACAAAGAAAAAATTCGTCTTTGAGAGAATTCCAAAATATTTGTGGAGCTTCAGAAATATTCTCATCAAGAGGATAATGACCAGGCCAATTTGATATTGTCGCAAAGAACACGCAAAATTCACTAAAAAGGAAAACAGTCATCTGAATTATCAAAAATTATGTCGCTTGCATTTATTTATTTCATATAACAGTTTTTTTATTTTATCATGGCGTTACAATTCTCCATTGTATATAATTTATATTCTATAATTATGAATAAATGAAAAAAAAAATGAAGCAATACTTGAAGACGCCATATTCTGATTGCTCATCGCATTTTATTAAAACCTGCTTAATGGTCACCACAGTGAAATCTGCGAGGGAACGAATTAGGAGAGACAACTCTTCTGAACAGCTATTGAAAGGATCAACAGATAATTGACTTAGAATATACTGAAATTTGAAATTTTTGAAATTTTGTTTCGATTGAAAAATTAATGAAAATAAAATCGAGAAAATAACACAGGCTCAGCCCTCCTATTTATATCAAAAATAAAGTAATCATCTTTGTAGCCTTTAATCATTTATGCTATGAATATTTTTTATAACCAGAATAACGATAAAATCAGTAATGAATTATTTAAAACAATTAAAACAATAATCTCACAGGAAGAACTCTTTTCACAATATGACAACTCAAATCATAGGCCAAGTTACCCATCACTTGTATATCTGGATGATTTGCAATTGTTGTGAAAATTTGTTCCATTGCAGTCCTAAAATCACAGTTAAATATTATTATTTATTATTATTATATTATTTTAAACCATTTCTTAGCTGACTAAGTTTTTCACCGCAGAATTATTTGAAGATAGGAATATAACTGGAATACATAAGCAGCTATGGATTCGTAATGATGAGTTTATTACCACTCTTCCATCGAAAGACTAAGGCTAAAGCAATGAAAGGTATAGTATAAAATTCCTCCTTTGTTCCAAAAAGAATTATATATATATATATATGTTTCTTTGGATTACATTTTTGGAAATTTTAGCAAAAATTTCAGCAAAATTTTAGTAAAATATTTAAGTAATTAAAAAATCTTGAAGGAAATAAAAACAGAACAAAGAACGAAAAAATAAACAATACCAATCATCAGCTATATTTAAAAGGATGAGGTGAAGATGTGAATGCCATTCAGCAAGATCATTCCCAGGTAATTTCAACCATTGTTCAGCACATTCAACTGCCGCATTCTTTAACGAAGGAGGAATATTTTCTCCATTTAAAACAATTTCGATTATTTTTATCAGATTCTGGAAAAGAATTCAAGAAAATATTAATATTACTATTAGAAACAACCAAAGCTCTCTAACTAAAGAATGAAAATGGAAAAAAAAGATAGAAAAGTGAGACGATGAGAAAATTAATGGTTTTAACCAGTTTTAACTTTGATGAGGGATCTATAGGATCTATTTCATTCTATCACCCAATGCAATCAACCAAACTAGAAATGATTTACTAAAAGAAAGGAATAATATATAGATTTATAAGTGATACTACCAAAAGATCTCAAAATAACTGAAAAATCCTTCGTTATTTTTCTCTATCTATTAATCATTTTTATCATATTTAACACGTTAATCATATCTCTGTTTATTAAAAATCTTAAAGAATAATTCACTAAAAAAAAATTGAAAAGCTGAGGGATCACACCATTTAAAAATGCATTAAAAGACAAACGGGTATGGTTTGCTTCAGAATCGATTTAACGACTCCACGCTGTCGTAATGGCAGTCGAACTCGATGAAATTCAGCAGCAATTTCGGTAAGGACTCTTAAAAAGGTTATTTGCAGATTCTATGCTAAATATGTCATTTCATGAACTGTGCCAAAAATACCTTAAAAGCAATTCAGGTTGTCCCGACCAAAGAGTAGCGATATCACCGAAAGGATCAGGCCATATATCCGGTATGCAATACAATATAAATGACGCTAATGAAGAAGATAATTTATTGGTAATCGACTGATTCTGCATATGCGCACCCATGGTAAGCTTCTCTATTAATATATTTTTAAGTCTTTCTACCTAAAAATTATATAAATAATAAACAAAATGAAAAAAACTGTAGAAAAGTATTGAAAATACTGAAAACTGAGAGAAAAAATGTCTAATAAATAGCAAAAAGATTCTTATTAAGGATGGGCAAAATTGGTTATATTTATAAATATCTCTTAGCACTCGTTATGCTCCAAAAAAATCCCTTTAACGGCAGTGTTAAGGAGACATTTCTGGGTTTGAAGAGATTTTTTATAAAACAAATTTTCTATAAAATATGACAGGTTTTGAATATATATATATATCCCCTGGACGAAAAGCCGAAAAGGTTGTCGCCAGTAGTAGGTGGAGCTGGCAGAAAACAGCGGTGAAGGTCAAGATATAGCTAGTTTGAACCGCAAACCGCGTAAAGTTGAACGTTTTATTTTGCAGATTAATAAAGAATCGAAGTAAATGCAAATAACAAATTTAAAAAAATAAGCAGAAGAAAGTAGAAAAGATTAATGAAGTCTTAAAAATGAAATTTGAGACTGTATGAATAGGATGGCTTAATCGCCGGCAAGTAGCATAAGTTCAAATATAGTCCACTGATAAAAATAAAAGTGCCATTAAAAGAGAAATATGAGTGACGAACCATCTATCCCTATTACTATGTGCTATCTTCTTATCTTTCTCTAATCTTTTGAAGACCTTTTAGTCAAGTCATTTCGACAATAAATAAGACCAGAAAATGGTGCGTATTGCTAGAAGAAAATTTCCACTGACAATAAAGTAATAAAATGAACAAAAAATAAGGACATGTATATTCACAACATGAGTCTAAAAACTACAAAAAATTAAAATGAATAAAAAAAAACGAACAATTTCCTGTTTCGAGCTACAGTATTCCCAACTATCATTTATAGTTTCATATAAAACACAAGCACCATAATGTTGGACTATAGGTGGGAATTTGGAATCCAGCAAATGAAAAGCAACAATAAATCCATTTTCGGCTGAAAAATAAAAAAAATATAAAAAATATATTTTTTAAAAAATTTTCTCATTTAAATCATAAAAATCTTTCTCATCCTATCTAAAACTCTTAAAGCATTTAGCTTTTTCTTAATATTTCAATTTTATCAAATTCGGATAAATCACAATTTTCCAAAAACTTCCCTTTCTATATGGTTTTTGTAGTGGGTGATATGAGTCCGTAGGTGATATGAGTTATAACTTATTTATGAAATCATATCAACATGCCAATGAAATACTGGAAGTATAGTGAAAAAAATAGGATCTGTCTACATCGGCTATTTTTTTTAAAATTTAACTGATATTTTCTAAAACTCTTATTTCTTTGCTCTTTCCTTATATCTTATTTACAAAAGAAATATTTTTTTCGTTTAAATGAAATAATTAGATATCTTTTATCTAATAATCCACCATTTCTGGTTTCCGCCCAGTACTGAAGTCAGCTTTTCCTCAGAGGGCTGCATAAGGATACAACAACTGGGTATTAGATAGATGGACCGCTTGATTCCACTTTTAACGGTTCGTTGTGAAAACTTGGAGCTATTGAGTAGGAAATGAACTGATTTAAGCTGCAATCACTGAATGGAATTCACTGTACCACTCTACTTTTACTACTTTTCGATCTGCTAAACGAAAAAAAAGAACAATATTATTTCAAAAAAAAGCAAAACTACATTTTGGTAATGCGACTAAAATTTCGTTAATTTCCTTTCGTCTTTCTTCATTATTTGTTCCATAAAATTCAACGATTAAATTCGCTAATTGCAAAATAAAATTTTCATCAAACATATTATTTTCATTGGGTTTTATTACCACTTATTTCAATGATAATTCACCTGAAAAATTCATTGAAAACTATGATTAGTGTAATAAATCGTCGTAAAAATAACAAAAATTATTATTACAACAATTCAATTGCAATTTACTCATAAAAAAAGAAAAATAAAAAAATTATCAACAAATCACTAAAACAATATTAAATCGTTGAAATGACAAGCAATTTTATCAATTATCAATGCAAATTCCGCAAAACGCGATATTTTTATATAAATTCATTAGTTATTTTGAATTAAATTTTAAATTATTTTAATCCCAATCCATCACAGAATCTATTTATCTATTCTTAATTGTTTTTATTACGCCAAAACATATTTTTTAATGGAAGTCAATTCTTTAATTATAACTTCCGAAAAGTGAATAACCTCTGAACTTGTTTAATAAGTGCGCCAACCTACCAACCACCTACAGGATGTGAGGAAGGGATTCTTTGATGTATTTCAACATATTTTTCACCGATATATTTCAACATATTCAACATATACATATTTCAACTTGACAAGTTGAAGTTTTTCCCCCAGGAAATATAATATTCAGATAATAAGAGAAAGGAAATGATAGTGGAAACCCCACTAAAAAATGTTCTAAAACAATAGAATACAAGAAAATAAAGAGATTCTCGCATAATTTATAGCAAAAAAAAACAGCGAAAAGCACCATCTAAATATCGATTTCTTATTAATGTTATTATTAGGTCACTTTCAAGTTTATTCACGCTAGAATAAGATAACCGATAGATAAATTAGATGATAATCACTTGATAATCGCTTGATAAGCTGAGTTCTCTTGACATGCCTGAATCTCAAGGTCACATCGCAAATGTTAAGCCAAAAGATTGGAACCTGCAACTTGGTGGATCCTAAATTGACAATTGGTCGATTCGACCTATTCCACTGCAAATTTGGAAATACTAGCAACTTCAACCCACTGAACTGATAATTGATAAAAAATTAAAATCAACAAAAACAAAAATAGATAAAACAACAAGAATCCAAAGCACCAACAGACTGCAGAATAAAACCTACTACTCGTCGGTCTGGGTGGTTTTTGTTCGAACACGAACGTCTTTTACACTATATTTTAGGATCAACTTCTTAGGTTCATGTCGGTTTTGGTACTTGTTTTGTGGTTCTTAAATGGATAGAGTCCTGAGTTGGCAGCACTTGAGAAGATAGGTCTCATTTTTAACTGAATGGCCCCAGCGGTGATTTATAAATTAAATTATATATTATATTAAATTATAATATTAAATTATAAATTAAATATATAATATTAAATTATATATTTATTTTTATTTAAATTATACGTTTGTTTTTAAAATTATATTTATTTAATTATACTTATTTATTTAAACAAATCTTCTTTTCCAATATTTTTATGTGAAATATTTATAGAATATAAATTGAATATTTATTTAAATTAAATTTTATATTTAAAATTTGGTTAAATTATTTGTTTTAAATGCTTTCTGGATTTAAGATTTCTCGTTATATTTATTTCGAAGGAAAGTTTCATTGAATTTTTAGCACTATGTATTTTATTTGTTATATTCTACAACACTCATCTTATTCTATAATATTAAGAAACATCAAATATTAGTGAAAAATCATAAGGTTTATTAGCTCGGCTACCTGTTAATATGATTGGAGATTTTTGTCAAGGATTCTAAGCCAAGCAAAGTTTGTGATAGAAGTGCAATTTGGCTACATTCTTTTGTCTAATGGCAGGTTTCCTGTGGTGGTACTGATTGTGCACTTTGCTCTTAATACGTTAATCTAAGCCTATCTAGTTGATTCGCTTATCCATTCTGGTTTATATTCATTTTTCTTCGAACAAATTTTGCTAATTGAGGATAAACATATTGGCCATTTCGCATATTTATCTTCGTTTGTCGTTTGTTAATATTGTTAAAAATATTAATATATTTTTATTTTGGTGAAAATGGGTCGAATAAAAGCTCGTGATTTGCGTGGAAAGAAGAAGGAGGAATTAATGAAACAGTTAGAGGAACAAAAAACTGAACTCGCTTCTTTGCGGGTAATTTTTATTTTTTACCCTTTTTGTCTATCTTTTTAATTTAATTTAATTATAAATTTATTCGTTATATTTCTTCAGTTCACTTTCTATTTTTTTTTTTTTAAATACGAAAATGCACAAAATGCCAAATATCTAAAAAGTCGAAAATGTATATTTTATTAATATAAACATTAGATTGGAGATAAATAATGCTATTGAGTTTCGTGTTAAAACTGGAAGTTGATGTAGGCAAAAATAGAATCGAATCGTTGAAAGAATTATATCAGTACTAAATGAAAGAAATTTAAGACAGAATATTAGTCTTCAATCCATTTCTAATAATAATAATTAGTATAATAGTTAATATAATAATAAAAATACAATTTAATGCGATTTAAATTAATTTAATTAATTAATTTAATTAATTAATTAATAATTTAAAATTAATTTAATTTAATTAATTTAGTTTAAAATTATTGATAATTATAAATAATTAAATCTATTTTTACTTTATAATTTTTCGAATCTAAATGGGGATTACTTAAGTTTAATTTAGACTTATAAACAGTTGAAGGATTAGTTCAGAGATTAAGTGGTATATTGATTTACTACTACATTTTATCGAACAACAAGACGCAGATAAAGGAACGTGTGTTATATATGTGTAATAAGAAAAATATCTAATTTAGATATTTTTAGTTAGAGATGGCGCACAAGCTATATCGTTCGGTAATTTATTCCAGTGATTAATATTACGAATAAAGAAATCGTGAGTCCTTAGTTTAGTTTTACACATAGGTTTTAATAATTTTAGCCCATTTGTTCTTGTTGGATTTATAATTTAAAATTAATTTAAATTTAATCTAAAATTATAATATTTTGAATAATCTAATTTAACATAACCATACAAAATCTTACGAGTATAAATTAAATCTTGTTTAATACGGGGAACTGACATAGAATCTAGGTTATATTGTAGAAGTTTTCTTTTATAATTAAAGTTACAATTAGGAGAAAGGCGCCGTATAAAATATTTTTGGAGTTCTTCAATTATTTTATTTGATTCGTGGAGTAACATGTAGCACTGTAGTCAAGAAGTGGCTTTGTTCATTTTGATAAGGAAATCTTCAGTTTTATTCTTAAACGAACGGAAAACAAAATTTAGTATTTTTGAGGATTTCTTTACTATGGTTCTGCAGTGTAGGTCGAAATAGAGACTTTCATCCACGATTATACCAAGATCGGAAATGTGTGAGACTCTATTGATTATATTGCCATTAATAATAAGATTAGAAAAATTGGAACCTTTGGAATTGATATGAAGAACGCTACATTTTTGAAAAAAAAGGGTAATTTGCCTGTAATATAGCTAGCTGGCCATTCTATTAAGGCCCTTCTGCAGTGTAGATAGGCTCTCTGATTTATCCATGAGAAAAAAATAAATTTTACAATCATCAGCATAAAGATGAATAGTAGAATTTAGTACCACATTGGTGATTTCATTTATATATAATAGAAAAAGCAATGGCGCAATACAGTTACCTTGGGGAACACCAGATTTAACAGGTTTTGTGTCAGAAAGAGTGTTATTTGAAGAGTACGGCTTGGTGACGGTCTTTTATGTAATCTGAGATCCAGTTATAAAGGGCCCCTGTAATACCATAACTATTAAAAGTGATCAGTAATTTGCTATGGGAAACAGTATCAAAAGCTTTAGCCAAATCTAGGTGCACAACTGTTAGCATTCTCAGTTGGTGCAGACCAATCGGATTTGCTAATATTTGTGAAGAAGTGAGTGGTTTTTTCGTATAAAAGCTATGCTGATAAGGAGATATAAAATTATTGGCATTAAAATAAGTAACCAATTTGTTGCAAATCAACCTTTTGAGTATCTTGCTACCAACGCATGTTAGGCTAATAGGTCTATAATTAGAAGGGTCATAGATGCTTCCTTTTTTATGAATGGGAATTAAGACAACTTCATATTAATAAACTCGATACCAATTTTTAGATAATATGATGTTATCAGTTGAATATCTCCAACAGGATTAAATATAAATTATTTATTATTTTGTTGATTATAATGATTATTATTTTAATGATATGGTTATTATTATTTGTTCAATTCATTGCGATCATTCATTATAATTATATTACACTTGTATAGGTGGCTAAAGTGACAGGTGGACCTGCATCGAAATTATCAAAAATTCGTACTGTACGTAAAGCTATTGCAAGAATTCTAACAGTCATCAATCAAACACAGAAACAAGAATTGAGAAAATTTTACAAGGTTTTCTTATATTACGCATTCTGTAAATTTCCAACTCCTCTTTCTCTGACTTGCATAACTGTTATAAAAAAAATAGCCTATTAATCCTTTTGGTCTCTATGGGATCAACTTGCATCTCTTTCTAAAAGGCTTACTAACTAAACTAAAGTTTATCACTTTTCAAATAGCAGATTGTTTTGTACTTTTTATGAAATGAATTGAACAATTTTAGTTGCATGTTTTTAATAGTTATAAGAGACTTAGAGGATGTATTTGTTATTTTAAGTATATTTTGCGAAGCTTATTTATTTTTTATCCAAGTATAACAATATCGATTGAAAAACGATTTTGAATTATGAAATTTTCAGGGTAAGAAATATAAGCCCTTGGATTTACGTTATAAGAAAACTCGTGCAATGCGTCGCGCTCTTACTAAACATGAAGCTTCAATAAAATCCAAGAAACAAAAAGCAAAAGAAAGCAACTTTCCAATGCGGAAGTATGCTGTTAAAGCGTAAAATATTATAAATCTTGTTTCTTGTTTTTATAAAATGTTTTATTATTTTTATATTCATTAATTGCTTTATATGTTGCTGAAAGGGCTTTTTGATAAAATGCTACAGAGCCAATGAGCCAATGAAATAATTTAGGTATATTTTTTTGGGCCTATTTCTTCACTGCTTCTAAAAAATTTCTAAAACAATAATCCAGTAAAATTTGACAGGATGGAAATGAAATTATGGAAATTTTTTTACCATCTTCAGGGAAATGATAACTAAAAAAGTGGACTTCATATTTGATACAAAACGGTGGACGAAGATTTATTTATTTATTAATGAGTGCTAATTAAATAAATTGAACAAAACACTGGAAAAGAGTTGATAAAAAACCTATAGCTTCCTTATATCTTTTAATAATACGCATTATATTTCGTTTTTCTAACTTCACTTACCGTGGAAATAAGAGTATGCATCTTGTTAAGCGTATTTTTATGACGGCAGTTTGAGGTTTTCTCCGTAAACTTTATTATTAAAGAGATTGCGAGAAATGACCAATATATTTATTTTCTACAAATTATCCTGGAATTTGTATCTATACTGGCAGCAAAAGCAGCAATTAAGAAAAATTTAAAAATAATGCAAAGAATTTTTGCTATACTTCTTATCATAAAAAAGATATTTCCGATATCATACTTGATATGATAAAATGCAGTAAAAATGATAAAAATGATAAACTCAATAAAAACTAAGTTAAACGTGCAATCAATTAGTTGCAATTGACAAACTAAACTTTGATGTTCGAGGTGGATAATCTGAAAGATTCCGCCACGTTTGCTCATTATTTTAAATATTGGATTTCATTTCCTATTTCTTCGGAAATTTTAAGCGGTTGAAAATTTAACGGATACCTTCTAATGGATGCAATGCATTTTTTCTTGTATGTTTTTAAAACTTTATTCCAGAAACCTTTACTCGGAAAAAAATGAGATATTTTGAGATGAAAATAAATTTTATAAAAATTAATACTTGTCTGCTATTCAACTAGATTCTACAAATTTTTGAGGAAGGCTAGTAGGCTATTAACAATCTCGTAAGTTTTTCTTTTAGGTTTTTCTGTTGTTAAAAGGAATTCAACTTCGTAATTCGAATTGCAACAGTCTTAATTGTCTATTCGCACGAAATGATTTCATGAGAAGTGACAATTTTTAAAGAACACTCAAAGTACATATGGATAAATATTGGATAAATAATATAGGATAAATATAAGATAGTTATTTAATAACGGTTTAATGGTATTTTTAAAAATTTCGCTCTTTTTCGCTATTTTGTCGATTTTCCCGCTATTTTGTCGGTTTTGCCAACCTTAAAAATATTTCGTGCGTTTCGCTCTTATCACACCCACAAGTTACTTTATTTAATATTTTATTTAAACTTATTTTACATAAAACTACATTATTTGAAATAATTTTTGTATAAAAAAACCTTAGTATTAATTTAGTATAACTTTATTTATGTTTTTATTTGTCTCGAATTTTTATTTCATTTTTTTTCTAAGAAATCACAAAGGGAAAATGAATTTTAACTAAACTGGATGGTACTTGATTTATTTAGAAAGTGCAAATTTTTTATTTTTAAAAAACATATGAATACATACGAATTATAAATCTTTCTTTCATCTTAATAATAGAAAAATCTCATTGTTTCACGTTCTTCTTCGATCGCTCTATAGTTTTTTTCTCGTTTTTCTTCATCGTTTTTTCTAAATTTATTTTTATTAAATTTATTTAGATTAAATTAAATTAAATTTATTAAATTAATTAAATTTAATTAAATTTATTAAATATTTATAAAAATTTATAAATTTATGAAAAATTAAATTAATTAAATTAAATTTTATTAGAATTATTAAATTATTAAATTTTATCAAAATTCTAACGAAAAGTTGGAGTGAAATAGCTGGAAAAATAAGTTAAAGTAAATTTGGTTATTGTTTCGCTCATTTGCTTTATTATTTTAGTTCATAAGCCAGGAGCATAGTGCCCAATACGACGAGCCAGTGGAACGAGTTTAACGGTGAAGATTCCTATAAAAAAAGTATAATTACCTACTGGTCTTTATAGTCCCTTTATCCTGCAAACCTTGTTACACTTCCCTAATGTTTTTGAGTCTCACCAATACCCACCATACCGCAGCATTCTGCTTTCAAATGGATCAGCATCGTCATTTATGAAAATCTAATTAAACCGAGCCATAGGCATAGAGAGATTGCCTGTTTATGCTTTGCTACCGTCGCGTTCAGTTCAAATTAATCATGAACCTTGAGCTTTTTACCATCAACATTACGACTAAATACAAATGGCCTTCAGAGACTTCTGAAGATGAGCGTTTTGAAGCAGTAGGACACTGTCGTTGTATCGGTGAAGTTTATCGAAATGTTCCGTGCTGTTTCCTGTAATTGTCAAACTTCACATTAAACATTTCCCTCTCATTTCCCTTTAAATGGTGCAAAAATAAAAATACATAATTGCTTATAGGAATACTTGTTTATCAAAAAAAGTTGTTCTCAGGTGGCCTTTCGTATTCTTGTAAAATTCAGAATTTTTGAATGAACATAACGTAAATATATTCATTTGACTGTTGAATTTTTTAAAATTTTTTGCAAAAAAATGATTTGTATAGTTATATATGAAATGATTAATTTATTCTATGAATACTATTATCATTATTATTATTATGATTAGAGACAGGATTGGGAGGCAGGATTGCTCAATTCTAAGGTTCTATTCCCCGCAGGAGTAGTTTGTCCAAAAATTCGGGTGATGCTGGCAACTCACTTGTGCTTCTATCGCCAAGGGACTCGCTGATATATTTGTTCAGCGAGACAAACCAGCGGAGCGAGTTTAACCAGTAATGGTGCAAACTCTTTAAAAAAAAGAACCAGTAGATAAACCAGGTTTCTTATGACTGAAAACAATTTGAAGAAATAAAATAAAAAAATAGGGAAAAATCAATCCTTTTAAATAATAAAGAGATAAAATTCGTATCTGTCGAGGAAAAAATAAAACAAAAGTTATATTCTATCTGATCTATTTTTTTAAAGCATAAAAGTATTCTGCTGGAGTTCTCTACTTCTAGCATTTATCTTATTTAATTTACCATGTTTCACTGGCAACTAAAAAGTACCAAATTCACCAGAGGAGATAAAAATTCAAGCAGAAAGTTGAGTTAAGTTAAGCATTATTATGATTTCACTTTTAATGATAAATTTATTTCTCCTAAGGAAAATGAATCGAATCCGTTATGGTCTCTTTATTCTAAATATCGCTCAACTCGAGGTGAATTTCGAGAATAGAGAGAAAATTTCATGAAAAAATTTATTTAAATAATTCATTTCAATGGAAAGGGTTTTTCTTGGCATAATTTTTTTTTTCTTGAAAATTATCCTTAAAATATCCTTTCTTAAATTGTTTAGGTTTTTGCTTGAAAATTTTTTTCCATATATTAATGTTCGATAAAAGCGTGAGCCACGTTTAATTCTCTGCACGTACGCTCCACCGAGATCGAAAATGCATGGAAGAAATATAACCCACGCTAGTCTCATTCTACGCGTTATAAGTGGTAAGCATGTGATATTGCCGATTTAACATGGTTTATCATTCCCATCGAAATTTCCTATTAATTTACAATAGAATATCTTGCATGATTCAATTTTAAAGAACCATAAACAAAACTGTTTGCAATATTTGGAAGAAAGAAAACTTTTCAACGTGAAACTAACAAAAATTCCGTTATTTTTTTTACCCTTCATCAGTTTTCATTAATAAACGTTCGAAGTCGTTTATTTATAGATCCATTAATGATCAATATTACACGATATTATAATATAATATAGAAATAATATTATAAAATATGAAATATAATGCATGCAGCATAATAAAGTATAAAATATATTTTTATATTATTTTATATTGTATGAATTATGAATAAAATATAATTTACAATATAATATAAATCTTTTATATAATATTTTATTATAAAATATATTGTTTTCACATCATATTGTAATATAGTAGAATATAATATAAATAATACGAAAATAATTTAAAAATATTCATCATAATACACATCACATCATATTTTATTTTCCATTATTTTTTCTTCTTGTATATTATAAAATATAATGTGCAATAGAATATTGTAAAATATAAAGTATGTTACATTTTGTTATATTATTTTCATATCTTATTATAATATAGTATAATATAATTATATTTGCATTTTATATATTATTATTTATATATTATAATATATCACATTTCATTATTTTATTTCCTAAGACCTTTTTGTTATGATATATATTTTTATATGATATATATTTTTGATATATATCATATAAAATATATATCATATATTGATATATGATATATATTTTTTTAAGAGTATATTATATTATTTTATAAAATGTAGTACACAAGAATATTATATTATATTATATTATATTATATTATATTATATTATATTATATTATATATGCAATATAATAATATAAAAATAATATTTTTATATTATATTATAAAGATAAAATTGAACATGTTGTAATAAAAATAATTATGGCAAAATATAAAATGGTACTTTCATAGGTTTAAGGCCCTTAGGTGGTTTCCGTCTTCTCAGAAAAATTGTTAAATATTAAATATTGAAACCAATTATTATAAAGAAAAAAAATTACTTTCTTGATAAATGGAGCACCGCATGTATAATTGACGATATAGAACAGCATCAGTTAGCTATGGATTATGCCTCAATATACCTCACTACAATAGCGCCAATTGACATTATGCCAAAAGTAAATCCATCTTTTCGTATCCCGAAATCCAAATTTCTGTTCTGAACCATAAATAGAAATATATTTAAATCAATCTCATGGAAATTGAAGAATTTAATTTAAATAGTAGCGAAGGAAATAATCGTTATAAGGTTTGTAGCAAACTTAAACAACATCCCCCCCATATATCTTTTTTGATTTTAAGTGAAGTATTACGAGGAATTTTCAAGGAAAGCTACTAGGCTGGAATAGTATTAAAAATTTCGTGAGTTTTGCTTTTAGATTTATTGTTGTTAAAAGGAATTCAACTTCGTAATTTGGATTGCAACAGTCTTAATTGTTTATTCGCACGAAATGATTTCATGAGAAGTGGCAATTTTTAAAGAACATTCAAAATACATTTAGGCAAATATTGGATAAATAATATACGATAAATATAAGATAGTTATTCAAATATAGTTTAATGGTATTTTTAAAAATTTCGCTCTTTTTCGCTCTTTTGTCGATTTTCCCGCTATTTTGTCGATTTTTTCGCGATTTTGTCGGGTTAGCCATCCTTTAAAATATTTCGTACATTTCGCTCTTATTATATCCACAATTTTTGGAAAAATTGAAGTTGCTGCATTTAATATTTTATTTAAATTTATTTTACTTCAAATAAAACTACTTTATTTGAAATAAATTTTGAATAACCTTAGTGTTATTTTAGCATAAATTTATTTACGTTTTTATTTGTTTCGAATTTTTATTTCATTTTTTTCTAAGAAATCACAAAGAAGAAATGAATTTTACCTAAACTGGATGGTACTTGGTTTATTTAGAAAGTGCTAATTTTTTATTTTTCAAAAATAAAACATACGAATTCATACGAATTATAAAAGTCTTTCTTTCATCTTAATAAGTAATTTTATCGTTTCATCTTCTCCTTCGATCGCTCTATAGTTTTTTTCTCGTTTTTCTTCATCGTTCTTTTTTAATTTATTTTTTATTAAAATTCTATCGAAAAGTTGGAGTGAAATAGCTGGAAAAATAAGTTAAGTTAAACAAGTTATAAGTTAATAAGTTAATAAATAAGTTATAAGTTAAGGAAAAATAAGTTAATAAGATAAGTTAAAATAAATTTGGCTGTTGTTTCGCTCATTTGCTTTATTATTATAGTTCATAATTAGTTAGAGTTTAACAGTTAGTGTTTAACAGCTATCAGTTGAGTTTCGTTTATTTTTTTGTAGCAAAATGAGACCTCTTTTATTTTGCCACAAGCCCACTTTTTTTAGTGATAAATTTATTTTGCCAGATGATAAGAAATACTTAACCATTTTTACTTGATGTGATTTATTTTGCGCCCAACCTGCATTTTTAAATAATGCAATTATCTAAACAGGATTTTTTAATTATTTAAATGTAATAATTTAGTCGGACGGGCAATTCGTTTATTTTCTAGTGGTTTTTACGGTGATGCTGGCGACTCACCTGTTTTTTTATCGCCAGTGACTCTCTGGCATAAAAATTGAATAATTAATTAAAAAAATATTCAGAAGTTTTTTTCGTAAATTCTGGGGAAAAATTTAATATTTTTATTATATTTGTTATTTTATTTATTTTATTTTATTTTTGTATTACACACTTAATATATAATTATTATTTATAATTATAATTTTATTATAATATATAAATATCTTTAGAAGAGAAATAATTAATTGGATTGAACGGAATTTTTTATAAAATCAAATCAATTACGAATAAAATAATTTTATTTCTATAAATATTTCTTATTATGTACTTTTTTAAATTGTTTATTTCAAATTTATCAGAATATTATAGTAATCGTCGTAGAATTTTCGTTATTTACTAAACCGTTTAACGATTGGCGCCATAAGGTAGGCCAGTCAAGGCCTGAACTGATACGGTGAGAAGAGATTTTGAACGTATATATGGACCAGCAATATAGGGACTTAGACGATGGAAAAAGGAATGGCTTCCATTACTGACGACGATATCATCAGACCGCGTTGCTTGGAAGCGTTTTGCCCCTGTAGCCGTTGGAGCCAGCCTAACCAGTAATGGTGAGAGCTGTTAGAAGAAAGAAGAAATTTAGAATTTCTAAATTTAGAATTTTTTATTTGTTTATTTCAATATTTCAATTTATTAGAATATTGTAGTAATCGTTGTAGAATTTCGGATAATTCCTCGATTAGTGGGCCAATAATGCAATGTAACGAATATTTGGAAAACAGAAGTTAGTAAATAAGGTAAATTTATTATTCTCTTCTCACTTATCCTTCAACAATAAACTCTCTTAGCCAACTTAATATTTTTTAGCGTTCCGCTCTGTTCTTTGAATGCTTCACCTTGCTACATTCTTTTCTACTGTCTCCCATTGCTAATGCGGGCATAAACTTCTCCACATGATCAAATTCTCTCAGATATAATTGCAGCCGTTTGTTTAACACTTTGTAAGAACACGTCATTTATGGAACTTTTTTGTGAATCTCTTTGCGCATTTATCTATACATTTTTATCGTAATTCAAATTTTGGTCGGTCGATATTTAGCAGTACAAAAGGGAAAATGCTCAAAAAAAGCATTTTCACAATAATACACCCATATCCATGTTAGGTAACGCTTGGCCAACATCTTTAAAGAACGTTGATAAAAGAACCTTAATTTGGTCGCCCAGAAGTGAGCTCTAAAAAAAACAACTGAGTGCATGGTGTTTTGTTTATTTTTATGCATAAACAACACTTGTGGCAGTGGGAATGAACGCATTAATAATGCCTAAGGCGATGTTGAGATTCACTTCGTATTCATTAGAGAATGAGTGAAGAAGTTTATTGAAAACAATAATAATTCCTTACATTTAAGTAAATTATAAGTAAATAATTAATTTGAATAATAAATTGTTGATTTAGATTGCAATATTTCAGAGAATCCCTCTGTAGGCAAATAGCCAAATAGCGCAATAACTAAATAACCGATTTTGGAAGAATTTTTGGAAAAAAAAGTAGAAAAAGCAGACTTTCTGAGAAGCTCCATGTAAAGCATTCATGCAATCCATGAAAACGTCCCTCCACAAACCCGAATGGACCCGAATGCCGCACTTGCAACGAAAAACACGTGAGGCAGTACTAAATATGTTTATGCACTCTATTACTAAATACAGTTTTACAATTATTTGCCAACATTAGTAAATCGCATATAAAACAGTCTACTTGTACCTATGTTAATTTCCTTTTATAGCCGTTTTTCGCTTTTCCGCCTTCTTATTTCCAGTTAGATGCAACCTGAATATCTTAAAATTTCCGATAAAAAAAGAATTAGTACTAACGAAAGTTCGTTAGTACATTGAATTAAACCATCGTTTATATTAATTTTCAAATTTTCAATTAATCACATAAGATGTCATAAGATGTTTCTATGCCACATTTTTTTGAACATTTTCCATTTGTTTAACCAAATTAAGATGTGAAATTTTTCGAACGGTCTATTCAGAAAGAAGTATTTGAAAAAAAAATCGTCCAGCCGAAATTTGAATTGCAGTGAAAATGCATGAAAGCAATAAAAATTTGTAGAGGTTCGAAAAAAATTTCACGCCGGTTAGACTATTTTAAATCATAGAAATTAGCATAAAAATATCTTCAACGAAATGCCTCTAAATTCAAATAGAAACATTCGCAGTTTATATGAAAATAAAAAAAGTGACGAGAAAAATATGTTCCATTTTATATTTCAGTCTTTTCTCTACATATTTCAATGATAAACAACCCTGAAAATAAGAATATTTTTATAAGATAAGGCTTATAAAGTGATAGCAGTTGATAAAAGTTTATTGCTTAATTTTTGTCGATTTTTACTAATATTTTCCTCATGACAAGTCCTGTTCAAATTCTATATTAGAGAGTATATTAGCGAGAGATGGGAGATATTGGCTCATTAATAAGCAATCTGAAAATAAGAAGGGAATTTCGTAAAGCAATAATTTTTTATTTTTCTATTTTAGCTATTGACAAAAGACTATTTGATCAGATGAGATGAGATATCCAAAAAAGAAAAATATAATTTAATGAATTTAATAATATAAAATGATAAAATAATTTAAGAACATAAAATGATGAGGCAAATGAGTCGATGAAAAAGAATACGAAGATTTGTTAATTTTACGGTTCTCAAAAAATTTGAAATGTTACAAATCTCAAAGACGAATTATTTATTCATGAAATTTATTTATGAAATGGATGATAATAAATGATTATTTTATGATTCTGAATTGATATTTATTATATATTCCGACCGATTTGATTTGTCTCATTCAATTCAACGTCGATTCTTTTGGATTGCTTGAAATTTTTTTAGTTAAATTAAATAAATTAAATTCAATTTATTCAAATTTAATTAAATTGAATTTAGTTAAAATTAAAAGAAATAATCAAATTTCTTTTAGTTTATTAGATTTAAATTCAATTAAATTACAATGAAGAATACCTAAAAGATCGAAATTTTTCTAAGCATTTTAAATTTTTAATTTTAAATTGCCCACACATTTAGGCAATCTCATATGCAAATGAGTCAATTGCTTTTGTATGGTGCAATAAGCACAAATTACATAATTGTTATTACATAATTGTTATTAAACTTAAAATAATTCATCTTTAAATTTTTAAATTCATTTTCGAAATTTTTTAAAATTTGTAATTCATTATTAATTTTTTAAGCTTTTTTTGTCATTTACTTCATTCTGAAATTTTTATGCAAATTCCGAACAATGAATAGAAGAAAATGAAAAATAAAAAATGGAAAAATGTGGCAACGAACTGTGAAAAAAATTTCATGACCATTCGCCTAAGCCCAAGTTGTGCTAAGCATTTTATTTACAATTCATTTTTAAATATTTAGTAAAAAAGTTATTATCGATACTTCCTTGTGAAAAATACAGAATTACTCGTTATCCATTTCTTCTACAACTCTTACCACATCATTCACAAATGATAATTTACTACTATCACATGTTTTTATTGATTCTAATCGAGGATCTCGCGGTTTTATGTATCGTCTGAAAAATATTATGAAGTATTCAGAAATTGCATAACAAGAACGATAAATTTTGAAATTCGGAATTTATGAATTTACGAAACTTACTTAGATATGTTATCACGCACAGCTGATCTCCAATCACCATTATTAAACCATACAAAATCAAGAGTTCTAATTAAGTTCACAAATGGCATAAATTTATGACCTTGCTCCCACCTGAAATATTTTAGATAAAGGCTTATTTCATGCGATTAATATGAAAATATTAATATACGCTTATTTTATTTTAAAGAAACTCGTGAAGAATTAGATTTTTATTGAAATTATACAAATTAAAAATTGCTGTACAAATTAAAATTGCTTTAAAGAAAAAATAAATTCGAACAATTATTTGAATTTGCCTATAAACAAACTAATTAAACAAAATAATACTCTTCATAAGGCTACACACATCTTTAAAGAAGTTTTAAAACATACTTTACATAACGGTCGAGCGGTAATCGGTAGGCTTCAATCTTTGATTTTCGAGCAGCTGCTAATGAAATTTTACCAAATTCATGCTCACCGCAAATTATAAATACTTTGTGTCGCAGAGGGCCATCATAGATAGATTTGGCCTTGCTGCAAGAGAAAGTTTGTTTGCAAAGGACATTGAAAGAAAAGACCATGAATTCCATAAGATATTATTAATAATACACGGCAATGAGGAATTTTTAGTTAATGTATAATATGTGAAGTAAAATGAACTATTAAAAATAAAAATTATACATTAACTACTAAACTATAAACGATAATTAACTATTAAATTATAAAAATTGACAAAATTATACAATATGAGGCTTACCCACTAAAATAAACAAAATCTCCTTTCTTGAAATGAGGATACAATTCTTTTACACTACGAGAGGTCCAATCAGGCAACATTCTTGCATTAGCAAATTTAGTTGAATAAGCAGCAAAAAACCTAAAAATATTTATAAACAAAACTGAAAAAAAATCTGAAAACTGGAAGCTAAATGGTGATAAAACAAGTAAAACAAAACCTTACTCATTGATAGCCCAATTTCGTTCAGGAGAATCGTCGCTATCATAAAAATTTGCAAATGTTATTTGAAAGGGAACATTCAAGTCAAAATTTGCCTGAAAAATTTTGAATTATAAATTTAAAGCTAATGCTTATATTTATTTCCAAAATTCATAGATATGAAAAATTGTGAACTAAGTAGTAGGTAATTTTTGAACCCTTTATATGAGCCTATAACGCGATACTTTAACCAATTAAACTGAAGATGATCTTTAAAATAAAGGTAGATAAATCGATAATGCTTAAAATTTCTAAGTGAAATTAACAAATTAATCCGCGTCCATATAGCTGCAATTCGTTCAGTCTTGCTATAAGGCTCTGAGGCATGGCCAATGAGAGTTGAAGATAATATGAAGCTATCAGTCTTTGACCACTCATACCTAAGATTCATTTTATGGATTTTATGTTAAGTGGATAAAATCGCATATAATCTAACTTCACTCAAATAACTTGCATAACAATATTCACAGAGCTTTACCTTCGCTGGTTAAAGCAAGTTCTCTGTCGTCCAGTAGTCAAAAACAGGGAGGGCCAAGAGTTGGACTGATTCAGTCAAGAAAGATTTTGAACCTACAGGGAAGTAGCGATATATGGACTAAGACGATAAAAAAAGCAATGGTTTCTATTACTAGCGATGGCGTCGAATTAAACAACTTGGAGACGTCTTACCTTTATAACCAGCGGAACAAACCTAAGCAACAATGGCGAGCTGTTAAAAAAAAATTAATAATCTAAAAATTTACCAATATTTTAAATTTGCACCATAGTAAATGAATGAGATATTAGAAGATCTTTTCGATAGATAGTTGAGGATAGAGATAAATATGGTTGCAGTGGATATTATTTTAAATTTAAATTTAATCATGAAAAGTCAAATCAAACTTATCTCAGAAAAACGCTTAAGAAAAAACTGCCTATTTATCTCAATAATAAATTTATGAAATAATAAATTTCGATAAATTTCGTAAATTAGAAATAAGTTCAATATTTACAGCTATAACTGCATTCATCGAATCCGCTATGGCAAATTGATTTCGATGTTTCAAATTTTTGAAATTCTCCATATCAAAGACAATATGTGGTTTTTCATCGATTTTCATCGACATAAACATTTTCGCAGCTTCAGTCAACCAAATTACTATAATAAGGAATAACGCAAGTGATGGAAAATTTTTTAAAAAAAATCTAATATTACAGAATATTAATTTTTTAAATAAATTCTTAGGAATAAAATCTTTGCATCCAGACAAATCTCAAATTGAGAAATGCTTTTAGGTATATGGCTGCCAAAACATTAATTATTATTATCATTAATTTCAAACTTAGGAAATAATTACCACGTTTATGTCTATAAGGATTGGGTTGCATACGATAACCTCCTGATCCATATGCCATTCCGCCTTCTCTGATTATTTGAGCCTAAAAAAAAATTATAGTCAACGAAAAAACAAGTTAATTTTCTGAAAAAATCAAGTAAAATGATTCTGTATAGTAAAATAGCAAAAAATGCCTAATCTTTTGAGAATATTCTTACTCGCTTTTCATTCTCATTTTCTTCTTCGATTTCAATTTGATGTTTTATTCCACGTCTTTTTTGTTTGGCAGCCAAAAACAAAATATATTTTATACGATCAAAAGTCGTTTCCCTTTTCAACAAACGCTCCCAGTTTAGATCAGTTAGCGTTTTTGGTACAATTTTTGACATCCACAAGAATACCTAAAAGATCAGTTCATAATTACTGAATATAGCCAATCATTAAATCTGTACCGAATTTCCAGGTTTTTGAACGTCTCAATTATTATTTATATAAATTAATGTGCTGTTTTGGACACTAAAAAATTTCCAAAAACAAAAATAAAATAAACTTGGGAAACAATGTCAAAAATTAATAATCAAATTCTAGACTGCCTAAATATTTTTCAAAAAGACATAACCAGATATAATTCGGAAAAATATTAATCGATAATGAAAATTTGCTAGGCAAATATTTGGTAAAAATTTGATAGTAAAAGATTTTAAAAAATTATGAAAAAGTATAATAATGCGATAATAATAATGCAGTATAATAATGCAATATGTATAATTAATAAAAAATTAACTTACTTTAAGTTCTTTCTTCACCTGAAGGTATTTGTTATATCTCGTAGTATCATTCAAACATGATAAAAAAGATTCAGACGGTTCAAGGTCAGAGAGCTTAACGCCACTATGTTGATTTGTTGAACTCGTTGAATTTTCTTGATTAACATTATTTGCATTACTTTGTACGTTTTTGTCGGTGTTCAACGAATTTTTTTCTTTCAAACTGTCCTGTCGACTGCTAATGCCCAACGAACTAAATAATCGAAAACGGAATAATAATATTTCTTAATAAGGGAGAACGAAAATAAAACAAAAATAACTGATTACTTATAAAGTCACAAATATTATTAATTATTACAAAAATTAATTATTAAGTTATTTATAACTTTATTTTCTTCCGTAAAAAAATTTTTAATGCTAAAGAGTCAAATATTTCATATGGCCTAATGGCCTAAATCAATAAAATTTTAAAAAAATTTAATAATAAAATTTATATAATAAATGGATTTTTTGAAAAAAAAATTCATGCCAACCTTGTCAACTTTGCTTGTGATGAAGAAAATGCAACGATTGCTGATCGAATAGCTCCGACTGCTTTAAATGATTTTAATATAAAGAATGAAAAATTCATAAATCTGAAACTAAAAAAAAACTTACAGTTTGCAAAATAAGTTAAATGGCTAATTTAATTTAAAATAATAAATTAAACAAAATGCGGAGAAAAAAATTAATATAATAAATATTAATAACACTAAAGGTGATAATGATAATATCAATAATTAATGGCAATATTTAGTAAAATTAATAACAAGTATAATAATTAATAGAAGAGAATGGCTCAATGGATTTTCTGAATGGCTCAGTTTAACCGCCAGTGCTGACGTTCTATTTCGCGACACGAGTAAACCTGTCGAAAAATCAGGGTGATGCTGGCGATTCCCTGCATTTATATCGCCAAGGGATTCCCTGGCAAATTTATCTAATGCGACAAACCAGCGAAACGAGCCCAACCAGTTTACCAGCGCACCAACGAGTCACCAGCGATGACGAATGATTCGCCAGCGCTATTTGCATTTTAGAATTTAGGTGTTCACTCCTAGCGCGTGCAGAGTTCCAACTACCCAGCGGGCTATTTTGCCCAAATGATAATTGAGGAATTATGCTGAAATGGTAAAAAATTAACTGAGGGAAAAAATAAATAGATAAATAAAATAAAGGCCACAAAAAAAAAATTAAATCATTCTCCAAGGAGCTGCAAAATGAGTTAAGCCGATTGCTAGTATTCTATCCCTAAAACTCGGCATGCTCGTTCAGCTTCTGATTTTATTGCTTATTCTCGAGTTTTGTTTTTTTTTTTTTAATTCTTCCTCGTTAAACATAGGTCATTTGCGTGCATAGGTCACTCGGAAGGTCATGCGAGTTGCATGGATTGGAAAGGAACTCATATATGTCTCCCAAAATCTATCTAATTTTGTCCTCTCTGCTAGTAAAGTACCACTTTCGAAAAGTTCTGCATTCTATCATTTCGAAAGTTCCACTCTGCTGTATCCGAAACTTCAAAATTCTATTATAACTTCTCAACAATCTACTCCTCGTGTCAACTTTATGAAACGCCATTCCATAAGGCCCAGCTAAATTTTTCTCCATCAAGCCTCTCTTGAATTTTTATTTTGCCAGTATTTTGCCAGCTTCATCAGTATTCAGCATTTTATCTTGAACCTGCTTCTCCTGCTTCTACTGTTTAGTCTCTCCTTATACTACTGCCAAATTAGAAATAGGAGTGTAACTGCTGGTTTAAAATTTTTGTAAATAAAAAACAAAAAAATTTAGATGAAAATCTTAAATTCGACCAATTTTGAAATGACAATAAATTTTTTTGAAATGAATTTATTATTAATTATTTTTATAATTATTAAATTATTTTAATCATTGTATTACAAAAAAAAGCAAAAAAAAAAATGAAAAAAATAAAGTAATAAGATGAAATAATAAATGAAATAAATGAAATTGAAACAGAATTATTCATAAAACATGCAATTTTTATTAAAACAATAGGATTTTATCGGATTAATTTCTATTAAAAAGCGAAATCTTATCAGCTAATCATTAAACGCTTTTTGATAATTTCGGCGTTTTTCAGCTAATTTCATAGGATTTTCATAGTTCGCAAAATCTTCATATAATTTCTGTGGTACAACTCCGAGCATCTGTTTTCAAATGGTTACTTTAGCAAAGTGCTCTTATCCTAGTATAATCGAGCCAATCAAATCGGAAATCTAGTAGTGAAAATCTGCAAATATTCTAAATTCAAAATTATCAAATTAGATGATAAATTATCAAATTGCATTAATTATTTTTTAATTATATGTAAGATTCTATTATCATCTAATGGGTTGATTGAATGGGTGTTGTTAAAAAATCACTCGTTGTTAGAAGTGCAGGCTGGCCTCTATCACCAGCTGTTTTTTTCAATAATGAATTTACTCATATCGTTGAAAAAAATTAGTCTTTAGCGTTTAAATTTTGGAAGCTTCCATTTTAGTAACAATTTTTTTTTTAAGAGTCCTCACCATTACTGATTAAACTCGCTCCACTGGTTTGCAATTGGGCAATATATCAGGGAGTCTCCCTTAGCGATAGAAGTACAGGTGAGTCACCAGCATCACTCGGATTTTTGCACAGGTTTACTCCCGCGGGAAATCGAACCTCAGCATCGGCGCTCCAAATTTACCCACTGCCCACTGAGCTATTCTATCCCTCATTAGTTAATGATGAATAATCATCTTAAGATTTTCACGTGTAAGATTCTTCGATTCTTATCTCCTGAAATGAATCGAACTTATCATTAAAAACGTGAATAATTCTGGTGACTATACTTCTATTATCAGGTGGTTATTTTGTAGAAATTTCTAACCAAAAATAACAGCCAATGAATAACGAACTTAAAGAAAAATAATGAATTAATGAATTAAACTAATGAATAACTAATTAACTTAGTGTTTATTTGTATATTAATATAAATAAATAAATAAATACAAATAATAACAATAATACAACAATAATAATAATAACAATTATTTGCAATACAAATAATAATAATAATACAATACAAATAACCAAGAATTGTAAAACAGGCTTATGATTCGCGTAATAAAAAGTCAGTAACACTTGATTTAAACGAGTTGATTCCATTGTGAATTTTGTGAACTTTTCGCGAATAATTTAGACAGTCTGTAGTCATTTTTGATTTTTTTTTTCCAGTTTTCTGAATTTTGCATTATTTTATTTAACTTTTTATGTGCACATTTGGTTTTTAAATTTTAAAATAATTGGCTGTCGCGAAAAAAAACTAGCGATGAGTATTTACATGCTATATTTTATTTTATTTTTACTATATTTCTTTGTAGTAGGGCAATTGCTTCGCTTTATTTTCTTTATTAGTGTATTTATTTGTATTTTTACTAATAAAGGTTTAATTACCCAAGTTTGAGGTTCGCAACGAGAAAAGTAAGAAGAGAGCGCTGGCCACAGAGTTTATAATATGATTAAGAAATAAAAGTCCCATGTGGCAGGAGAATTAAATATAAACAGAAAAAATATAGTGGAGCAGATTCCCAAAAGGAATTTTTGTAAAGATAGAATATTTGAAGGGGAATCGCTATGCTCCCAACGAAAATTTTGTAGTGCTATATACCTTTTTTCTATTCACAGTTGGCTGTGGTTTATATTTTTGAAGCAAAATAGCTAAGCAAAATAGTAATAATAGCTTCGACTAGATCGAACCATCATATTTCTTTATATTCTTTGAGTTATTTTCTTCGTTGAGAGTTAATTTATCATTAAAACTGAAATATAGGACAACTGATGCTTTTCTATGGCTTTCTGACAAAAAGATCTCTTATTAAAGGGAGTTAGCTGGCCAAGTTTCGGATTGTTGAATGCAGTTGGAAGACGAATAATTTCATTTTGCAAGCATGGAGGCCAATCGTACAATTTGGAATATATCACATATATTCATGGAATTCATAGAAATATTCATACTTATCGTTCTAACGGGTATTGCCATCTCAGAGCTGAAAATTTCAAGTTTATATTACAGTGATAGATCAATGCAGCTTAGCATTTTGCACTCATTATTTTTGCTTAGATCCATTTCATTGGACTAATAAAAACAATGGAATCAAGTAATTTCGCCAAAGATTAGTTGGAAAACTCAGTGTGGTACTCGGATTTTCTTTGATCGCAGGTTTTTTACCAAGGAAAAACTTTGATAGATTTATTCTGAGGAGCTCAATTGCATGGTCAAAGCAATATTAATTCCTATTCATTTTCACAAATTCAAGAAATTCGAGGAAACCATAGTCGAAACCATATTAAATTTAGTTGTTCATTTTGAAATTATTATTTCCATACATTGGTATAGGTATATGAAGAAATATGTCACGTAAATTACGTGTATCGGTGAATAAAATTTTCAATATTTAATATAAAAGCAATTCATTTTTATTCTTTTATTTCACTATCGAAAATATATTTAATTTTTTTAAAATATTTTAAATAAAATATTTGATTTTAAAAAATTTTTGTGAATGACAAAATTAATATATTGATAAAATGATAAAGTGATAAATCGGTTGCTGTTAAAGTCAAAATAATTTTAAGACGTTCAAAACTGATTTTCTTTCATTTTCCATTCATTTTTTTTCCAGAGAATGCTCATTATTTCTGGTTAGACTTGTACTTGTCGTTTCGCTTGGTATCACTTGGCGATAGAAGTGAATCGTTTGAGTGAATCGCGAGCACAGACCTGTCTTTTACAAAAAAAAGTCTCTCATCCTCTATGGGTGGTATAGATCATCCTTGTTAGCAATCTCGACCAAAGGTTTAAGGGTTCTGAATAGTATCATAGTTTCAGCTGCTCCTACAGTGCGCTATTCTGGGCATAATTCTCTTATATTGTTCTTAGAACCTGTCATTTTTCTAAGAGTCAAGGTACTTATACTCCTTTTTTCTAATGTTTCTATTATTACTATATCTATCACCAGTGTTGATACTTGTCTATTATCACGATATCTGGTTGATTAAATAGATACTATATATATTTATATTTATACCGATTAAGTTTTGTAGAATAAATATTAAAAATTTTAGAGAATCGATTATGCTTGGTGCAAATTTATCCTAGAATGGAACTATGCAGAAAATATCCGGAAGAAATCCTAATTTAATGAGGAACTCAGATGAATAAAAGTGAAACATCGATATCGAATCAAGCGAGATTTTTATTCGTTTTTTAGTTATTTTTTTAAAAAAATTAGTTATTTTTAATAATGCAGAAATGTATTCCTTATTTTTTTTTATTAGATTTCTATCCATAAAGATGAGAATGATAAGTTTCTGGATTTCTGCATCACATTTAATTTTGAGTTGAAAGGATATACCTAACCTTTTATTTGTTTTTCAAATATATATTTACAAGTAAGAGTTTTTTATTGATTATTAATTTTTTGTTAATGTTATTTTTGTTATTTTTATATTGTTATTTTTATCATTATTATTTTTGTTTATTTTGTAAATTTATCTATTTCATTGTTATCATTTATTATTATCACTAATTATCATCACTTGTTG